GTATTATTGCAGTTATAATAATTTTAACAATTATAACTGAATCCCTGAACCCCATTTTAGCAGAAATTTTAATCTCTTTTATGTTTTCCTGTTTTAATCTCTTAATTGTATTTTAAATCAGATATTGTTTAATTAATCTTTTAATATTTAACTTACTGTGTTTTTAAATTGTGTGAATTTTAATGTTGTGAGCCACTTTGGGTCCCTTGTTGAGAGAAATACAGCATATAAATATTATTAAATATTATATTAAATAAATAAATATTATTATTGTTGTTGTTGTTGTTGTTGTTGTTGTTGTTGTTGTTATTATTAATGCATATGCAACTCATGCTCTCTCAGCTGATAATTCTGATAAAGACTTTCAAGATAAGTTAAAGTGAATGTGATAAAGTTCTATTTATTTAGTTTTATTTATTTAAAATATTTTTATCCTGCTTTTCTCCTTAAAAAGGACCCAAAGCAGATCAATATGTTAAAGCTAAAAAATAGTACATATACAAATATTTTAAAAGAACCAAACAAATACAATTTTAAAAGAAAACAATATGTTGTTAACTCAGAGAATGGCTTTGTCTGTCCCCCCCCCCCCAGCTTTCATTCTTTGGTTAAAATTAATGCCGAGTTTGGAATGTTTAAGGAAAAAATAGATTTTTCAGAGACTGGATTATTTAAATGCTGACAGGACAACAAACAAAACAATTGTTTTTAAAATAGTTATCTTTGGTCCCCATGATTATTTTGTTTGGGGGAATATTGTTAAATCTGATGGAAATTTTCTTCCTCAAAAATGGATGAACTACACACAAACACACATAGAGTTTGTACTCCGTTTTTGAAGAACACCCTTTCCATCAGATTTATGATATTCTCCACAGAAAGCCATTACTAAATTCTAGTTACCTTTAGATGGCACCAGTGATAAATAAAATCTTAAGAGTCTGAATCTCAGTTTCCTGATACACGTGGCCGATTTCAATGCCCATCTTTCAGAAGTAACAACTGTATTTTTTCTTTATTTTACCAATTGTATCAGCTTTATTATTATTGGGATGAAGGCAAACTCAATAGACTATGACATGAAGAGGTAACGTTAGCAATTCCTCATTCTACACATATTTGTTGTGAAGGTATATCTTAATAATTATTGCATTGACATGATCCATAGGTAAAATAGAAAGATCGGAGTTGATAATCCTTTAAGAAGCCTGATGTGGTTGAAATAACGGAGGTAGGGATTTTAAAAATAAATAAACTGCACAAAGATTGGACATGGTCAATATCTCGTCCAAATTCCAGCACAATGTTAGCTGAGTGAAAATCTCAGCCTAGTGCTGCTGTGCTGGATTATAATATTGTACAGCCGCTTTAATGTGCAACTGTTTGCACAACTTTGGATGCAGTGCTTGCACAAGGGAATATCAGGCTTGCACTAGCTTGGAAATACAACAACTGCTCGTGCAGCTGTCCTTGACATGAGCCAAAGTTATTCTCAAAGGCAGCTGGTTGGTCTTGTCTAAAAATTGGGCCACCATGGATGAACCCCATGTGCTGCTTAAGAAAAGGAAGAATCCGTTCTCCTGGAACTTTAACAAACATAGCCCCTCAGTCTTTGGAATTATGTTTCACACTACACTCAATGAGGGAGTATGTCGGCTTTTGTCAATTTGCACTCTCATGTTAGTAAACATTGACAGTGGAGATCTCTCAAGCATTTTCCAAGCCTCCAGTGATTTCCTTGCTCTTCTTTCCAAATTCGGAAGAGTGTGTGCACTTCCATCCGGAGGGCAGTTCTTCTTGTTCACCAACCATACCCTCTCATTGAGTCGAGGTCATAATGGCCTAAAATGAAGGGGATTGACCCCACTCGGCTTTGAAAAGTGCCTGCTGAGAATCGCTTCTGTTCTGACAAATCCAAATGCACTGGGCTGAATTGCTTTTAATGTCACTTTGTGGATGATGGGGAAGCAGCTCATACACTTTGACCAGTATCCTCTTCCAAGCAGAAGAGCAATGGCATAAGTGTTCCTCCCACTCTGATACAGGCCCCCCTAATGTATGACCTGTCTCACAACCAGTGCAAGGCAGAGCAAGCGAAGGGGAGTAGGAAGAATCCTTGTGCCAGTACCCTTCTCTTCGAAGAACAGTATATTTCTCTTAATAAACAAAATAGAATTTAATGGTTGTTGTGAGTTTTTTGGGCTGTTTGGTCGTGTTCTGAAGGTTGTTCTTCCTAACGTTTTGCCAATCTCTGTGGCCGACATCTTCAGAGGACAGCAAATAGGATTTGCAGCCTCTGCCTACCTGATCTGACTTCCCTCTCTCGGCTAGTTCCACTCTGGATTTCACCAAGCTGCATTCCCTTGTTGCAAAGGTAATGTGTGAATTGGCTGTTCATTCCGTTTCGTGGACAGGCGGTAGTGCTAAGAATGCATCCTCTGTTTCTGCTTTGTACTATCTCTGTGTGGAATTTTACATTTAAGAGGACGAAGGCTGCCTGGCTAGCAAGAGTATTCGTGAAACGACTAGGTTTCACGGAACCATTTCTGTGTGTCCCTCTTCCCGTGGAAAAGAATTCGAGGCAGTGTTGGGGCTACTGGATGGGTAGGTGCCAAAAAGGCACTCCAAAGCTGGCTTCCTCTAATGAGTTGGGCATTGCCTTTTGTGCAGAACCGAGGCTCTGGAAAGTATTGGCTCTGCCATCTAACTAGCCTGGCTAATCAAGCCTTTGCCAAAATCCTGCAATTATCTACTTGACTTGTTTAGAATGCTCTAAATGCATTCTTGTTTTGCTAATCAGGACAGTCTGTGAAAAGTCTTTCAAAAGATTCCCGGTCTGCTTGCCAGTCTAAATCTCTTGATTGTTGATGCCAGTTATCTTTCCCGTCTCCATTCTCAGTGTCTGCTGGCAGCCAGTCCCCTACCAGTCTCTCTTCCTTGTCCCATTTCTCTCACCAAAAACCTGTTTCACAGGCCTGGAGGCTGCTTTCTGTATGAGTGAATCCCCCCCCCCTTTCTGGCTGGTCAGACAGTAGTTGGTATATAACATACATAGTTGATGTAGACCATCTCTGGTTGTGGAAATCAGAAGCAAAAGGGAGCGACTATAATCCTGTAAGCATGGATTGCTTACTGTACATGGCAAGAGAACTTAGTTGTGCTATTCTGCTGCACCTTTTTCAGCTTGCAGCCAACCAAGCTGTGTGCAGTCCATGCGTAGGGTGACCAGACAGGTGTTTCAAAAAGACTGCCTTCTTTCCTTTTGCACATTCCTCTCATTATAAAAAGAGTGTTTCTGGGTCACCCTTCTGCTTGTCCTGCTTGCCTGTTTCTTGCTTTTAAAGGAGTCTTTAGCCATTCCTTCTAGGTGGACCATTGAAAGAATTCTCTTGATTTTGTTGGCATTTTTCATGAGATTACACAGGGATTTATTTCTCATGGTGATTTCTCAATGGCTATTCATTGCTTCTTAAATGCCACAGGCAAAATTCTGAGTCCATTCTAATTAACATAGGTTTTATACCCTTGATTGCCTTTTAAAACAAATCCTCTTTATTTATGCCTTTGGAATCCAGCATTTTCCTATTGCTATTTCTGGCTTTGTGATTTATCATATGCCTTTTCCTGAGCTTTAGCCCTGCTTTTGTTCGCTGCTTTTAATTGCAAATGCTGGTTGACAGAAGTTCAGAGCAGACAACTGCCTGCTGGCCACCCTGAAGAAGGAAATGAAACTACAGTTATCAGGGGATAGCTTTTGGTCGAGGTGGCATAAACTTGTGGGTCAGGTTGCCATGAAACAAAAGCACGCAAACCAAGGATTGTGCTCTCGTCTTTAGACTGCCTTCTCTGTGGTCCAGTCTCGGTCATGGGGATTTATCCTTCTGGCTTGCAGTATGGTCTTCTTTCCAGGGATTCCAGTCACTATGTACTTCATGATCTCAACTTTGAAAGCAAATAGTTCCTTAATTCATTCACTTCGGCAGTTTAATCGCCATCATCATCAGCTGTCAAATCAATTCTGACTTATTGCAACCCTTTTCAGGGTTTTCCTGGTAAAGGATACTCAGTAGTGCTTTCCCATTCTGTTCTCCTGGGACAGTGCAGCTTGCTGAAGGCTACCCAGGCTGACGCTTCTCGCAAGAGGCCCAGTGGAGAATTGAATTCCCAACCTCTGGCTCTGCAACCAGATTACCTAAACCGCTGAGCTCTATCCCGCAGTGTAGGATTGCCTTGAGTCACAGGCAGCTTGATGGCACAAAACAGCCATCTTGTACCTGCAGCTTCCCTAAATGTTACTCCCCTTCATTTTCGTCGTAGAGAGGAGTGGCACTTCCTGTACCCTGTACAGGGTACGTGCTGACCCATAGAGCCTTTGGGTCTTTTTGCTGGAAAGGTGTGGGAGAGGGTTGGCGGAGGATGGGGCAATGAACACATCTTTGTGTTTTGCCTACTCCTGATCTAGAGCAAAGTAAATACAGGTGATCTGTTTGTTTCTTTGCCCCGCCTAATGAATCTTATGACTGTAAAGCCATCGGTGAGCATGGCATTACGTCATAACAGGTCAAACGGCAGGCCCCAGTATTTATGCAGCTGACATCTATAACTCTGTAGGGGTAAGCAGTAGACGGAGGGGAAGGAGATGGAAGTGAGAGCAAAATGGGGTGGGGGGAGTGTTCAGTTCAGCATTTTGGCTTCTTTTCAGAAAGTGGCAAGACTTTGCCATTTGTTCCGGCTTCTCAGGAGGGGTGGGATGGGCTGAACAAAAATGAATGGATATTTCACATTCCTGCTATTCGCATTGGAATGAGTTTGTGGTGGTGGGGGGGAGAGGTTGCGATTAGGGTGTATCCTATGGGGAAACCTTGAGCGTTGGTTGAAGTTCTCCACGCAATGACTTGTCATAATATTAACCTTCAGTGACATTATTGCAACACTTATAAATATATTGTCAGCATATATTTCAGAACGTACTTCACTGGGTTTCTTCTCTTCTTTTCTAGAAAAGGTAGAAGCATTACATTCTGGACCTAACGCTCCGTTGTAAATGCCTGCAATGTTCTTCTGACTTCTAAGGTGCTATTGTTTTTATTGAAAACTCATCTCCTGCACTGAAAACACTGAGAGACAACGTGAATTTCCTGAGCATATTGGAAGCTATGGGGATTGGCAAGAACACCACGTCTAAATCAGTAGAGGCTGGAAGCCCAACGGAAGGAAAATATGAAGATGAATCCAAGCATCCTACTTTCTTCACATTACCGGTAAGATTAAGTGTTCGAATATATTAAATTGTTTTTCCTTACCATTTATGGGGGCTGTTTTCCAGGCACTGGGTTGTCGCTTGCACCTTTGCTTGTTGGGCTTCTACGTGACATTGCAGGACTCGGTCAGGTGTTGCCTTGCACTCTAAATCTCTAAGAAGTAACCTGTTGACATAATCCAATTAGCAGTGCTATCATAGCAGGGAATAATGCATTTTTACATAGGGAAGCCTTGAGCTGGCAGGATTCCTGTGATGTTCCTCCCCCTTATATCACAAGCACCATCTGTAACTTGATTCCTGCTCCAAAAACTCTTCAGCCACTCAGTCCTGAAGAAGAGATTTGTTTGTAAAAGCTGAAATTAAAACTACTGAAAAGAAGGATCTGGATGCATTTTCTGTGTGGAGAGGAGTTCAAGAGTAAATGCTTCCAGCATTGAGAAATGATCCTTCTTGTGAAGGGCTTCTTTTGTTCCGAAAACAGACAAGTTTGTTCACTCTCGCTGAGTGTGCCACTGCCTAGATAAAGTCATGGCTTTAAATTACTCCCTCGTGATACAAGATGACTTTAAGTCCTCTGTGTTCTGGGCACTGTGCAAAATTACTGTAGGGTTGGGTAAAGTGTAGAATCAGGCAACCCAAAGGATGATGGATGAGCACGATTCTCCTTTGAGAAAAGGTTGTATCCTTTGCAGTTGTTTAGTTTAGAAAAGAGGCAGGTCAGGAAGCGGAACAGGATGAAACCATGTATGGGGTGGAGGAAGAAGATGAGAGTTCCCCCCCCCCACTTTTCTCTTAATGCTTGAAACTGAATAGTGGGCGGGGGGACTCAGAACAATCTGGATCTACTTCCTCACACACCATGTAAGAGATCTGGCATTTGGTACTTCATCCTGTTCTGCTTCCTGACCTGCCTCTTTTCTAAACTAAACAACTGCAAAGGATACAACCTTTTCTCAAAGGAGAATCATGCTCATCCATCATCCTTTTTGCTGTCTTATTCTACACCTTATTTATGAAAAAGTCATGGCAAATGCCACCTTCAAAAGCTGTAACAGTGGAATAGACAACTCAGGGAGGATAACGCTGCCAACAGATACTAGTCGAGACAGGTGTAATTTACTTCCCGTTTCAGAGACATACTGTATTCCCTCGGTGTCATTTGCAGGAGAACATGAGTGGGAAGGTGCTCTGGCACTCATTTCCTACTTCCCATCGGGACGTCTGGATGAGAAGTGAGCGCTGGACTAGATTGCCCTTTGGTCTAATCCCGCGATGGCTTTTCTTTCTGCCAATAAGGATAGCTTAATAAATATTGGTCTGCTTCTTCCTTGTTCTACCGAAGCAGGGAACCAATCATCGCTAAGCAAAATTCCCCCATTTAGACCATCGTTTTGCGATCGCAATTGCGATCGCAAAAACCTCGTCATAAAGAGATTTCCTCGTTAAGTGAGGCGATCGTTAAGCGGGGCACTACTGTATTCATATATTGTATATTAAAACATAATATTAAAAGATATTAAAATATCTGTTTTAATATATTCCTCCAGTCACATAGAGGAAGCCACTGTTTAGCTATCATAGACCACATGTTCTGGGAACTCTGCTTGAGTCCTGTTTAGATAGCTAAAACGTCACTTACATGCCTGTCAGGCACAGCATTTACTATTTTCTGTATCTTGTAGGTGGCCATTTCTATAAAAATTATATTTTCTTTTTCTCTTAGAAGGATTCCACCCATAAAGATTTTCTCCTGTGCTTTTTATTTTGAATATAATTTGTGCGCTAGTCCCAGAAGATGCTGTATTAAGTGTTACTAAATTGGTACATATTTCTTTTTGTTTCCCCTAGGTTGTAATAAACGGTGGAGCAACATCCAGTGGTGATCAAGACACAGAAGACACAGAGCTGATGGCAATCTATACTACAGAAAATGGAATTGCGGAAAAGGTGCCTTTACATTCTGGGATAAATTGCCAAAATGGGGTCCTGCTTGTTTAACTTAGGATGGGCCTCTGAAGTGGCCAGGCTGTTTGTTTGTTTGCTTGATTGGTTGATTGATTGTTTTTTTGGAGATGCTCATCTAAATAGTGTGTGTGTGTGTGGTAGTAATGTGTGGAGACATTTGGATAAGAGTAAAAAAAAGTGAGATGAGCAATATTAAAAGAGAACTGTTAGAGAAACAGAGGCAGAACCCTTCTCTACTCTTCTGGTTCAAGGAAAGTAGTGTCATTTGAGGGCGAAGGACGGATGATGACTCCTGCAGCAAATTGACACAGTCTTGTTTATTGTAACTCTTCCTGTCCTGTGATAAGTTGTTTGTGTGACACAATCATCAGATGTCCCTGTTTTCTTATCCCATGAGCAGCATTGGTCAAATGGGAGGTGAGAGGGTGATTCAGAAAGTCCACCACCCTGATGGACATTCATGCTTACCTTGGCTTTTTGACTTCAGTTGCCAAATGACAGCTTCAGTCTTCAAAGGACCATTTCTACCCCCCCTCCACCATATTTTCTTTACACCGCCTGGTTAAAAATTTGGAGATATTCTGCCAAGAGGTTGCCAGCCTAATCATGAAAATAAAAGATCTGTCCCCAGAATGGAAAACCGACTAGAAACTGTGAAAAACAGCATCAGGAGTGTAATGGACCCATGGCCATTAAGAACAGACACCCACAGTCCCGGGGAAGTTCTCATTTCTTTCTGCATCTCTCTTCTCCTTCAGACATATCGGAATGTCTAGTAATCAAGTCATCATTGGGTTGTTTGCTTTGTTTGCCTTTGATGTCCAACATTCATGCCTTTGTCAAGACTTCAAGGCCGTTGTCCCTAGATATGGCAAGCCATCATCTTCTAAATTAACCTCCTAGTCTAAATTCTGATTAGAGAATGATTTATGTAGCTTGTGTAGTCTGCCATAAATGTGCGGGGTTTACATAACCGTATGTGGGGTTATTTAGAGTGGAATATTTTTCAGTAAGGTTGGGATCCGTGAAACACAATGCAGCAGGTTTCATTGCATGGAGCTCGTTTCTCCTCTGAATCTTTAAACAGTTCCCCGCCCCCCCCCCCCCCCCCGTTTTTAGGGAGCGAATTACAACAGAATTATCACATTTTCATACCTCCTTTTGCTTTAAAAGAAAAAAAAAACAGAATCATGCCATCCTGAAAGTGAGAGCTACACTGATCCAGATTCTTTCATTGATCTGCTTGCCCGCTTTCTTCCCTGTGGTCTGAAAATTTTATTTATTTGTTTGTTTGTTTGTTTGTTTGTTTAAATTGTATGCCGCCCACTCTACCCAAAGGTCGCTAGGCGGCTTACAACAATTAAAATACAATAAAAAGATAAAACAATTAAAATACAATTAATTTAAATTTAACTCATCTGTACTTATTTTCTAACTCCGATGAAGAGATTTTAATAGAGATGGGCATGAACTGCTGGTTTGGCAGTTCGTTGCTCCGCCTTCTCTGGGCGCCGCCTACTGTGAGGGCGCCCCCTAGAGGAGGTTTGGCTGGGAAGCGCCGCACACCTGTAGAGTTGAGAAACAAACCAGCACGAACCGCCAAATCGGCAGACCATGCCCACCTCTCGTCTTTAATATCAAAAGTCTAGATTGTTTGATAAGGAATGAAACAGACCGTCAGCATCAGTTCATCAAAAGAGCACAATTTGTGGCGTGCTTTGAGCCGTGATAATTGTTCGGCCGATTTCTGGATTGCACAGCATATTACTCAGCTCTTACGAACAGAAATAAACATTTTTATCTTCAGTCCTGCAGTATTAGGAGTTGTCTTGCGGCACAAACCCCCTTTCTTTCCAGAGTCCAGCTGAAAACACTGTGCTCATTCAGGAAGGCAAGAGGTCGGAGTATTTCTGTTCCAAATGCCACCTTTGTTTCAGAGATTAATTTTGGCAGCCAGGGAGTTGCAAGGGAAACACTGGAAGCATTGGACCACCTAGATTATTTCCCAAGTTGTAGATGGTAGCAATTATAAGGGGATTAAGTGAGAGCAGCCTGCTTCACTAATAGGATGAAGTTATACAACTGGGTCACTGGGCTCTCGGTTCCAAGTCATCGTTTGACTTTATAATCTGACGTATTTCTATTTTCTCCCTTGGCTTTCCGTCTCTAACTGTCAAGGCAGAAGAAACACATCCTCTGATAGGGCAGCTGCTGCCTTAATGCTGGGTTTTCTACTTCTGGGAGTAGAAATGACTTACATTTCCAAATCCTCCTCCCAAGAGACCAGGGTAGCCTCATTATTCTTTCTTGAAACAGCAGTTTCCCACATCCCATCCCCTCACTCCCTCAGATGCATCAGGTCTTGTATGCGGAGCGCCTTGTGCCCAGTGACATGGGGTGGAGATTTTCCCTCCCAGTTAAATTGAACAGCTGAAATGGGTACAGTACAGATCAAGTCCAAAATCAAAACGTTCTGATCATTTTTTTCAGCTTAGCCTCCCTAGGAAGCGTTTAGATTGCTGCACTTTAAGGCATACTAAACTGAGTACAATCGTGCCCCACTTTACAATTACCCCACATTACGACGAATCCACTTCACGACGACGTTTTTGCGATCGCTTTTTCCCCTGCTCCAGATTTTACAGATACACCCTGGTTTCAGGCAATACAGAACCCGCCCCTTTTTCCCCCCTGCTCATCATCTATCTGCCTGTCCCTTCCCTACCTCCCTGTTCACCTCCTCTTCGCTTGTCTCTTGTTTTCGGGGCTATGTTTAACTGAATAAGAGTGGTTCCTTATGATAAACCAGACGGAGCCCCTGCTGTACAGGAGGCATCCTGCAGAGGCCCCAAGAAGCCATGAACCAAGGCTGGGTTCCTTCCCCCCCCCCCCCCCAGTTCACCAGTCTCTCCCTCTCCCTGGACAGCTATTACCTCTTTTGACTTCTTTTCTCCTTTGTGCCTCCCTTCACTTAGGGTGATGCGTGATTCCTTTTTTTAAAAAGACCTGTAATTAAATTGTTCATCCTGAGATGCTCATAAAACCCTTTTTTTTTAATTAAAAAGGGGGGGATGGAAGTGAGGCATGATGTTCACAACAGGTGTGATAGTGCTCAGCCCCTAGTAGCAGCAGCAGCAGCAGCGTGCATGCCCACACAGCCTATTAAAACGAAGAAAAAAGTACCACAATTTGGGTGTGGGTTCCAGGCGATGCCTTTTGTCCGGATTACTGCCAAGGTGTCGCTCCAGCCCTCGGCTCCACTTTGCTTGTTAAATGCCTGGCCTGTTGGAACCGCTTTCAGCTAAAATGACAGCCTCCCACTTGTGGACGTTCTAATTCAGCCACACCTTTGTTCACCTCAACGTTCACAGACGGAAACGAGATGAGGGCATGGTAGGTGGTAGAAAAGAACTGTCGGGGGCTAGTCTTCTACAGCCCTCTTTCACAGCACGAGGTTCCCTTCCCAGGATAGAGAGAAAGGGAGCCTTCTTCCTCCAGAACGAGTGAGATGCAATATATACATTGCATATATTGCATATACCGATTTATAGAGAGATAAGAGATAGAGAGAGAGAGAGAGAGAGAAGCAAACAGGCTCTCCTAAGCATAGGTAGAATATTGCATATACCGATTTTATATATATATTATGCTTTGATAACGGTGGCATTAGAGTGTGGCATTAGAGTGTTCTAGCACAGTTGAGGGACTGGATTTTAGCCGTTCGCCCTGCTCTCCTAAGCATAGGTAGAAAGTTGTTCTCCACAGAGCCATCCAGATTGCCCGCATCCCATTTAATGCTTTGATAACTGTGGCATTAGAGTGTTCTGGCACAGCTGAGGGACTGGATTTTAGCCGTTCGCCCTGCAAGTTCAGAGTTGTATAAAGAGTTCTGCTGCAGGTTGCCGTAACTGAAAACACCGCAGCCATAGGCTGCCGATAAAGATATTCCTTAAAACAGAACCCCTCTTTCTTTATTTCATTTGACCAAATGTACAGAATCCAGGGCGTTCCTGTGTCGTGGGTAGAGTGACGGACTAGGACTCTAGAAGCCGGCCTCCAAATCCCCACTCAGTCCTATAGCGGTGTGGAGCTGGTAAAACCACTCCTTGAATATCTCACGTACCTTGAAAGCCCCTTTAGAGTTGCTGCGAGTCGGTTCCGACTTGATGGTGCATCACTAACTGTTGCTACTGGATCAGTGCTGGTTTGGGAAAGAATGACATTGTTCAGGTGGCCTTGTTTCCTGTGATGTGATGGCATAACGTGGGTGCATCAGAGAGTGTGAGGAGATGTGGGGCATTAAGAACATGTGGCTGGCATGTGGCTGGGATTGGCAAGAAATCATTCTGTATAAGGCCAACTCTGATACTAAGCATGGATTAAGTCAGCATGGAAGTTATATAAGCCCTTCTTTCTACACAAGTTGAGGCTGGTAACTTAAATATATCCTTTCTAAGGGCAACTGCCAATAAATGTTTGTTTGTTTGTTTATTGCTTTTTGTTTTCACTCAGCTTTAATACTGTACTTAAATGCTTTTGTTAGTGGGCCACTTGTTAGCAGATATGAGGTTCACGTTTTAATTTTTCTCTGTCTTCATTGTCTCTCCTCTTTTTTTCCCCACCCTCCTGGCCTCGAAAGATAGTTTTTGTCACTTCCTGTGCAACTCGCTGTATGTACCTATTGATCCTACAGCTTAGGGCCACCGTGCTCAGTAGATGTTGTGATTACCTGCTCTTTGGTTCATCCTTCCCTGCCTAGTGGGTAATGCAATAAAAACAGCTGAGTTGATTGATTGATTGATTGATTGATTGATTGATTACATTTACACCCCCGCCCATCTATACCAAAGTCTATTCTGGGCAGCTAACAATAAAAAATAAAATAAAAACTATATATCTCATGAGTCATGAACCTGAGCCCAGGGATCAACCAGGGCTGTAATACAGATGTAGGTACAGTTATAGATATAAAGCGTGTGTTTGGCTTATATATTGGCCTGTAGTCTTTAAAGCACTCTCTGGGTGGTTTATAATTTAATTATACACATTTGTTGTTGTTATGTGCTGTTAAGTCAGAACTGACGTACAGTGACTCTTAAGAGGGCTCTCAAGGTCAATGAGATATTTGAGGGGTGGCTTTACCAGTTCCACTTTCCCAGTGAATTTTTGTGGCTGGGCAAGGATTTGAACCCTGTTCTCCAGAGTCCTAGTCTGTCAGTCTATTCAATACATGCATACATGTTAATGTTTCTGTTGTGACTTCATTTGTGTCAGAAGCAGTCCGGTGGTACTTCTGTTGATGCCCAGAGGATGCTTGGATGCATTCGAGGTCCTCACATTATTTAGGGAGGCTCCTTCAATGTCCCTTTACATGTTGCCTATTTTTGCAATACCTTATTATTTGTTTGAAACTGGTAGTCACTAGAACTGCACTTGACTCAACTCGGTGCTACTCTTGGCTTTATAGACTGTTACTGTCAGATATGTAAGACCTTGATGATCTTGGAAGACGCAGGGCCTTAGATATTGATGATTACAGAAATACAAAGCACGTGGATTTCCTTTCATAAGAGCTCAAGAAGTTGCATTATTCCAAATAAGGCCAGTGGGCCATCAAGTTACGCTTCTGAACGGCAGGTGACCCCCAAAATAAATCTCCATACGAGCTTTGGCATAGTTAAAGAGCAAAGGTCTTTCTGAATCCTACCTGGATATGCGAGGGGTAGAATTTGGGATTTGAACAGAATCCGGTTCATTCCTTCTGCTTGCAGAAAGATGTCCCTTGTGTGAATGGTTGCACAGCACCAAGCTTGGGCAGGAAAGAGGCATTTACTAGACACTTCCTCCTCCCTGTGCAAGCATGCCCACTTTGGATCAGTGCCTGACTGGAAAGAACTGTCAGGATGCTTCACCTGGTCAATGCAAAGCATGTCTCGTTCCACCCAGCCCTCATCTCTGACTCCCTTTCCTCATGTTCCCTCCTTGAACAGTTTGGTTTTTGTTTTGTTTTTTTAAAAAAACATAATACTTCTAAAAGTCTCGGAGGCCTAAGAACCTGTGATTTTCCAAAAAGAATCGTCTGCTTTTTTCACAAACTGCACCTTAGATGGGCCATCATTTTCACTCCTGTATTCTCAAGTATGGTCAAGCTTTGTGTCTCATGGTGCCTCGATCAGATTCTAACATAACCTTGATTTGAATTTGCTCCATATTTTATGTGGCGAAAGATATAAAGTCATTTAAGAAAGCCACAGCACCATTACAAGTTGTAGACGCAGAGACTCTTACACAAGTTCAGCTTTCAATTAAAAAAAAATCCTTTCATCTGATGACTCTCCCTTCCTGGTCTGTGTAATCCAAGAGGTTGTCCCTAATCTTTTTGACAGACGATACAGTAGTTATATCACAGGAAGCGAATAATGCCCTTTTTATTTGAAAAGAAGGGAGCTTGGTTCTATGAGAGGAGGAGTATGTGCATGCTTCTTCCATATATAGTGCAGCTTCACCCTTGGAAGGTAAAAAAGGTCCCTCTTTAGCTCTGCCTGCTGGCTGCTGAGCAGCAGGACTCTGTTCTCCCTTCAGGTGCTCTGGCGGGGAGCACGTTGGGACCTCCTTCAGCTGTAATCCATCCTTACCAATCCGTTTTACCCTGCTTTGTTTTGGGCAGAGTTCTCTGGCAGAGACACTAGACAGCAGTGGAAGCTCAGACGCCCAAAGAACGGACATGATATACACCATTGAGGATGTCCCTCCCTGGTACCTCTGCATCTTCTTGGGATTACAGGTACAGTCGAGCCATACGGTGACGGAATAGGAGTTTTGCGTCACTCCCAATGACTCTTATGTTAAGTATTGTTCACCGGGGGGGAAAGGTGCTAATTAATGCAGGCTCTGGCAGAGCTGTGTGAGACGGCAGAACCTGATCCTGGACAACAGACCCTCTTACTCTTGTTTCTAGTTCTCTGGTTTTAATTATTGAAGCTGGGAAGATGAAAAACTCTGACCAGTCTCCTGTGATTGCTTCAGTGTAGCAGCAAAATGGAGCCGACTGTGGTCTGATCAGGATAGGACGGTGCCTTTCTGGAGCCTCCTTTGACAGAATGTGGTCCCAGGATTTCCAGTAAGGCAAGGCTGAGCAGCAAAAAATTCTGAGAAACTGAGGTGGCCTCACTCTGACACCTCATTCGGAAGCAAAGTGAAATGTCGACCTCAGGCAGCGAATTTGGAGTTCTGTTAAAAGTTGCGGACCCAATCTGACCCATGGATACAATTCCCTAACCCTTGCCCCTAGGTAAACAAAAAGAAACTTTTCAAGAGCAGAATATGTCGTACACTCTCCTTCCTGAATCCCATGGACGGTGGCTTGTGAAAATTGTGAATGAACAGATAATGCTCTTGCACAGCTTCCCTTTGTTTTAACAGGATTTGGGTTGGGATATCACCCCATTGTTTCTGTACCCTGGGGACTGGGGGACAGAGGTGGCTTTTGGCTCTTCGGCCTCAAGGACGGAAGGTCTGGACGCTCCCAAGACAAATCCTTTTGATCCCGAGGGGTCCAGAGCCAGGCAGTCTGTAACTGAGCAGTGCCCCACTCCCCTGGCAAGAGTGCATGCCTTCCACATGGAACAGCCATTTGTGGCCTCCGTTTGCAAATTCATGATGGCTTTGTGCCTCTGTCCCTTCTCCAGCGAGCTTTGGTCTTGCAGGACATGTTCATCTGCATTGTTAAACTCTGCTTTTAGGAATGACTCCAATTGTCTTTCCTTTGAGGCGTGCTAAGGGGAACTTACCCTCATTTATATTTGATCATTGAAATTTAAAGCCATTATTCCTTCTGAAAAGTTTTGCACGGAAATGTATTTATTCATATGTAAGCGCTGATTCATGATTGCTTGGAAGCAATTTAATATGATCGATTTAGAGTGGTCCAGATTGGAAATGCATTCCGTTGGGAAACATGGTTTAGAGTAAGTGTCCTGGCATGAACAGCCTGAGGGCAGCCACATAGGCCGGCTGTAAATGAGACGACTCTTTTGTCTTTACAGCACTACTTGACCTGCTTCAGTGGCACCATAGCAGTGCCCTTCTTGCTAGCAGATGCCATGTGTGTCGGCTTTGACCAGTGGGCTACCAGCCAGCTGATTGGGACCATCTTCTTCTGCGTTGGAATCACCACCTTGTTACAGACAACGTTTGGGTGCAGGTAAGTTTGAGGGATAAGATTTGGCTTTGCATTGACCATATAAAGGTGCCCATCTCCCTATATTTCATGCTGTCTATGAGAAGCCTTGTGGTGCAGTGGTTAAACTGCAGTATTGCAGCCAAAACTTTGCTCACAACTCAGTTTCAATCCCAAGTAGCCAGCTCAAGGTGGATTCAGCCTTCCATCCTTCCAAGGTCGGTAAATTGAGTACCCAACTTGCTGATGGGGGCAATGTGTAGCCTGCATGTTTGAATAACTTGCAAACTGCCCAGAGAGTGCTTTAAGCAGCAATCTTCCCCCTCTCCCCCTCGTCTACCAATCTTCCTCAGCCTGGTGCAAGTCTTGTTAAAAAGCTGACAAGAAAAACAAGTCCATCAGAACATTTTCTCTCATTTCTTGAGGGGCTGCTTTCCCACTCATCAGAGTGGTGCTTGCTGCAACGAAAAGCAGTAGAAGAACAATAAACTAATAACTAATGATGAAAAGGATTTAAGAAAAAAAAAACCCAAACAGTGTGGCAGTTAATTAAAATCATCAGTCATGTTTGACTTGAATACTAAGATAATGAAAAACAATATGTCAGATCATTGAAACCTCAGAGGCGCCTGAAACTGAAATCTCGTGAAGTGGTAACCATTAAAAAACAGTTAACGTGGCTCAGACAGGGCTACAGGAAGACACCAGAGATGGGGGAGTCTTAAGGGACTCAGGAGCCCAAGGCACACTCCTCTTCCCCAAACCGTGGCTAGGAGAGCAGGAGCGTTACGCCTGTGCCAAGCTCTAGCAATATGCTCTGGCCTCCTCTCTCCTTTCCATTGATCTTCCTGTGCTGTGGAATGACCGTTCCATTGTTACAGGTAGACATTTCCTTCAGGGTAGCATTCATACTAAGAACTGAATGTACATGAGACATGAGATGATTGATAGCAGGCTGGTCGCACACTCCAGTCTCCCTCCCCTTACTGTGTTATAACCTCCAGATCTTTCTCTGTGGATCCCCACAAAGTATGCTCCATGCTGGAATGTTTCACATGAAAACCAAATACTGTGTGTGTGTGTGCGCGCGCGCACACCACCAAATCAATTCTGACTTATGGGGATCTTTCTGGGTGGATCCCCACAAAGTATGCTCCATGTTGGAATGTTTCACATGAAAACCAAATACTCTGTGTGTGTGTGTGTGTGTGTGTGTGCACACCACCAAATCAATTCTGACTTATGGCGACTCTTTACAGAGTGTCTTGGTAGAGAATAAACAGAAGTGGTTTCCCATCCCCTTCTTCCTGGTAGAGATTAAACAGAAGTGGTTTCCCATCCCCTTCTTCTTGGGGGCATCCTGGGAGTACCGTGCAGCTTTGGCCCAAGGCTACCCAGGCTGGCTCTTCTCCCAGGAGGCGCAAGTGGGGAATCAAATTCCCAACCTCTGGCTCAACAGCCAGGTACCTAAACCACTGATCTATCTAGCCAGCAGTGCAATATGTATCTCTGGATGTTTTTAAGTCCTAATACTGAAGTTAACCACCTTGACTGCCTGTATCTAACCCACTGATCTATCCAGCCAGCAGTACAATATGTACCTCTGGATGTTTTTAAGTCTTAATACTGAAGTTAACCACCTTGACTGCCTTTTGAGACAATGCAGAAAGAGAGTGGCCAGAATCCTATTGTTTAGTTCTGCTGGTATAAGTGCATTTGTGTATACAGCAGTGAACAGTGAAGTGCTGCTTGTTCACAAGTTGCCAGTTCCATCCCTCCTTACCTGCCACCAGAATGTGTTGGGAGGTGGAAAGGGATATCCCTGGCAGCTCATTAACTTGCACCAGTTCACCACTGCAAGTTTTGCACCCATTGCATTTAGGCTGGGCATAACAAGCCAGTAAGATTCTGGCTATTAAATAAATAGTAAACCATTTTTTAGAGAGCAAGGTGCTTCAGTGAGCCTAGTTTGGAAAAAAAGCACGTTAACGTATCACCAGACTATGCAAGGTTTCAAACATTTATTGCGACTGAACTCTTTGGAGAGAGGCAGACTGACCCCTGAAATGTTCAGGAGGTTCCCAAGAGACCTTCTAGTGTTAGAAGGATCAGGTACTGTACATTGTTCCGCAAGATGAGGAAAATCCCATCCTTGTAAACTGTGAGCTTAGATACCAAATGAGACTTCCTTGAGGTATGTTAAAACGTGGACTGATTCTTTGTCTTGTCTTTCTGTACAGAAGCAAATGCCAACTGGAAATCAAAGCAAACTATGATTTAATTTTTGAAGAATGTTTTTAATTGCATGCTTTTAATTAGAGGTGCTTTGAAAGAATAATGTATATGTAGGGCAGAGGCAGACCGGCTTTGCCAGGGGCATAGTAAGTACTGTGGCCAAGAATTACCTAGGCGGCTGAATCATCCACTCAGAATATATATTTATTCTTTTGCCAAGAAAATGTCCATGTGCCAGTGAAGTTCCCCCTCCCCCTCTTTTTTTAAAAAAAAACTAATGGTCACTGCATTTACTTCCCTTGCCGATGTTATAGATACCGTTGGGGGGAGCAATCCTTGAAGTTTATTTGATAAAGCTGGTGCCCTAACATACCTGTACATAAATGAGAGTTTTCCAGCCAAAATAGGCTACATGGTGCACTTGACCCATCACAGGCATCAATATGTCATCAGAAGATCTACATGCACTCACACATATACTCTGCTGTGACACCGAGCACTTTAAGCTCTATGCATGTCATGAGACTCCCAGTGTTGAAAAGGAAAGGTGGGGTGTGTGTGTGTGTGAGAGAGAGAGAGAGAGAGAGAAAGAGGGACGTAAATCTAAACTACCATAAGGAATTGGGTAGGCAGCGACATCTTTTAAATAACCTCATGGAGTAAAAGAATCCCTTTTGACTTTAATGCCCTTAATGTTGGCTTAGCTACCAAGTGCCTTTCTCTGGATTGAAAGACATGCAGTGCATACGCAGAGCTTCTGTCACTTTTCAGAGTGTATCGATGGGAACTAGTGTCACTTTTCAGGTTGTAAATGTAAGGGCAGCCGCAGCATCATCAGCCTGAAGATCCATCTAGACCAGCAGTTCCCAGTCTTGGCTAACCCAAGTGTTCTTGGACTGCAACTCCCAGAAACCCTGGACAGCACAGCTGGTGGCGAAGGCTTCTGGGTAATGCAGTCTAAGAACATCAGGATGACTCAAGACTGGGAACCACTGATCTAGATAACCATTCTGTTCTCCACAGCCCTTGGAAGCGCAACATGGTAATGGAGATTGCTGAGCTATGCAGAGCCTAAAACCATTCCTTTGAATAATACCCAGAAGAAATAATTAGGCTGCTCTGTTGTTGCTGTTGTGGAAAGCATTTCTTACTAAACTGCTAAAACTGACCTCTTTATTTTAAAAATAAAAGCAATCCAGAGTGGTTTATATAACAGTAGCTCAATGTGAGTGTCTCATCCAACCTCAGTGCTATATAAAAAGAGAAAAACCCATATATAACATTTCTTATTTTTCCGATAGGCTGATATAATTCCCATCATGTCTCATCTAGATTCAGCAAGTTAGTCCACAAACTATTTGCAACGTCATCCCCTCCCTTGCTTTCCCCTCTGGCATGACATGCAGTGTTTTGTAACCAGGTTGGACAAATAGTAATGTAACCAGCTTTTTTCTCCTTGAAGGAGGAAATATTTACAAGGGAAGGGATGGGCACGGTCACAGAAGTCTGAGCTGTTGACGTTGTCACCCCCCCCANTCCCCCCCCGCCGGTCCTTTGGTTTCCCTTTAGGTTACCTTTGTTCCAAGCCAGTGCGTTTGCCTTCTTGGCTCCTGCAAGAGCCATCCTCTCCTTGGACAAATGGAAATGCAATAGCACAGGTAAGCAAAAAATTCCACCCTCCCTCCCTTTCCCTTTCCCTCTTACTTACTAGAGTGGGAGTTGAACTTGATGGAGATTGTCCCGATGCAGTGTTATAAATCACCCTGTGGCATCAAATCACTTCTGACTTGCGGCAACCATTGTCAGGGTTTTCCAGGTAGAGAGTACTCAGAAGCGGTTGACCCTTTCCTTCTTCGGCAGAGGTTGCCCTGGGACTGTGCAGCTGGCCCAGGGCTCCACCAACCAGCTGGCTCTCCTCCCAAAAGGCACAGTGGGGGAATCAAGCCCCCATTTCCTTTTAACAAATTACTTTTAAAACAAACAAGCCCTCAACTGGCAACAGAGTCTTTTACTCAGTCCTGGGGTTTGTGGACAACTTCGGAGACCACGTGATAAGCATCCAGTGTCGGGCTTTACCCAGGCTTGTTTGGTCACTTGTCACACAGCTGGGTGAGAGAAGGAAGAGCCAGGGCTCAGATCTGCTCCTGAAGGCTGGCAGTGTGTATACCAAGACAACCACGCACATTTTAAGCCAGCCTTTTGATGAGTTTTATAGCTGTTTATCCAATGTAGCAGAAATTTTCACACTTTGGTATACCTGTGAAACAGGTTTTTAAAAAGGGGAAGCAGTTTATCAGCAGCTGCTAGATAGTTATGTGCTGAGTCTATGAGGCTACATCTAGGAAGGAGCGACGGCGGGGGGGGGGAACTCTTGTTTCCATGCCCTCCTTCAACTTCCTAGAGGCATCTGGTTGTCCCCTATTGAAAGCAGGAACTTTGCCTTGATTCAGCAGGGTTCTTTTACGTTTTATGTCCACGCTTTCTTAAAGAGCCTTTCTTGAAATATATGTTCTATCCAATGTGGCCCAGTTTGCACACACAATTATAAACAGTTAAAACAGAGGGTCAGTGTTCCTGGACGAGCAACAGATAGTAATGGGTCATCACAGTCCCTTCCCCTCCTTTGCAGTCATGAGAAGGCATTTGGAAACAACTTCTTCTGTTTGAGATTAGCCATAGTTCCTAATTAGGGTTCAACGCTGAAACCTGGTTAAATGTAGTTATGATTAGTGAAAACCAACCAGATTTGTGAATTACGGATTGACACTGGCTTCTTTCCACGGATCATTGCGGAGGTTAATTGTACTTTGAGCAGTTTTAGACATCAGGAGACATTTCTCTTGGTTTTAAATAGAAGCTAAAGCTTCTGAAGGCATGGCTGCATAAAGGGGGAGAGTGTAATAAGTAAGCCCAGAACTTACTATGCTTTCCATTGTAACACTAAACCATGAATTAACAGGAAGGACTTCAAGACCCTTTGTGTGCAGTTTCTATTCTGAAAACGACTACTTGATTGTGTTTGTCTTGATGTTTATGCCAAGTTGTGTGGTGTGCCAGAGGCTTCTGAGTTTGCTTACCAGCCACAAGGTCTTGAATGCCTTAGCAGCGTCATAGGTAACTGGAACATAATAGATGATGCTCACAGTGGTACGCCAGGTGGGTAGACAGAAAAGACCTGCTCCACCCCAGTAGGGCAAACAGATATCAAGTCTTGCAAAACACATTTGCAAATAATTGCAGAGGGAAGCAGCTGGAGAGCAAGACCAGATGTGTTATTAGAAGGGCAGCCCGGATGACTCAGAACACCTTTGCCGTCATTTGCTTTGAAGCCCTTCGGATTCAAAACGTGCGTCAGATTCCCAGGAAACCCCAATCCTATTTCAAAGAAGATGGTGTGGAAACTGTTTTTGAGATTATGGCTTATCATGACATGCAACTAACGTGCATTTAAACATCTTACTTCATCTTCCAAATAGGCACTCTGAGAAAAGCTGTTGTTCTCATCTTGCAGCAGGAAATTAAGGCGCCAGAGCAGCTCTGGAAGCCACTAATGTGAACTCGGTACCAGTTCAGGATCCTGGAAATGTTACTTTTGAGCACTGCAGCTCTGAGAGACCCATAGCTGCAGTACCTTGCTGGCTGTGGACTTCTGGGAATTGGAGACAAAACCAGTAACTTTTCTGATCTTAGCATTAGCTTTTTAGATATGGTCACCCTGCCCTGCTTATATTGAATATGCCACTTTGGCAGCATCTTTCAAGATCCTGCCGTAGCTGTTGCTTCCCATTTCCCATTAATACCTAATTCCCCCCCACACCTCTTGATGTTCAAAACCTGTGAAATATGCGCTCACCAATATTTCTGCTCTTATTTTACAAAAACTAACATTTATGTCAAGTAAATGCCTTTGGATAGGAATGGAAATGCTTTCAATATACTCTTAACGCTAATGATTTCCAAAGAAATCTCATGTTGTATCTGTAACTGGAATCGATTTGCATCTTGAGCAAGTTTGTACTTCAGACATATTATATCCATTATGTCTGTTTCCTCGGTTGACATGTCTTAACCGGCTGCTAGACTTCAGGTTCAAGCCAGGATATATTTTGGTAGTATTTTGCAAGGCGTCAGTCCCAGTTGCTTCACATGATCCAAGTCTTCTGCCACAAATGTTTAGCAAAAGCCTCTGAATTCTGGTAGAAGAATCATTCAGAGCATGCTTGAATGACATTAAGCATTAAACACTTGTAAATTAAATTACAGATTCTTTTGTTTCTTTTGCCTAAGAGGCCAGACCTTCTTGGCCATTCATTACACTGGACGGATATTGTAGCGTGTCTGTTGCTGTTTTTTAAGTCAAATGGCCTGGCAACAGTTCTTAAAAGATCGGGCTGAGTATATTCCTTTATGGCTCAGTTACTGTGCCTAGATGTGTAAAAGCTGCCCAGGAATCATAAATATAGAATGTTTTGTTTCTTAAAAGAATCGTTGTTCTGTCTTCGGTGACCGCTTCTGACCTTGGTGAGGCGTCAGACGGACAGACGCTGCTCTTGCTGTCTAGCCGGCCAAATTAACAGGCGACATGTTTAGAGACATAATATGCAAAGTTCACATTATCTGTGCTATGAAGTCATGGCCGCGGAAGTCTGAAGTGGCTGCCTGCCTCTTTGTGCCGACTGGGGTTACCTGCTTGCAGGGCGTATGTTGCGCTGTTAATGGTGAGCCTGGGAGGAATCCGTATCTGAGTAGAGTAACTACGGCCTGTTTCATGCACAGAAACCAGTTTGCTTCCAAATGAAGGGTGGGGGGAAGACTAGAGTAGCTGTGGAGAAGAGGGTGAAATTAAGAAGAAGATACATGATGTCAGTCCCCAAAGAAGGATGGGAGTGATGATCATGATAAGCATGGGTTGCAGGATGACCCAACAAGTCACCTTAAATGGTAACTGTAAGGGAAAATGAGATTAGATGCTTGAGAAAACTCCTGCTCCCTATGACAAGAAGCCTTCCCTGTGTCCGCATTTCCAAGAGCAGCTGCCACTCCCAAGCAGGACATGCAAGTGATGGCTTTCTGCTGGGGCTGGGATCCTTTCGGGTCACACCTTATAGGCTATGAATCTCATGCCAGGACGCAAGAAGGCATAGAAGGCCTCCTTGCTGAAGCCAAAGCCAGGTGTTCCAAAAGGGAATCTCAACAGGTGTTAAGGGGGGGCGGGGGAATCCCCCCTACCTGCCTTGGCAGAGTGCTGTGCTTTGCCGGGATCCAGGACCCCTGCCTTTGGTCCTTCAGGGGTGGCCTTTGAGGCAGAGTGAATGACGGGCGTTGGAGCAGAGCCGTCTGGCCCTCTCCTTCCGCCCATCCGTCCGGTGGGCCGTTGGTGCCTGAGGTTGGCAGTAGTTCCTGCATTGTCATTTCGGATTTGAGGCTCCTCCGGCCCTCATCCTGTCCTGTGAAGAACACGAAGGAGCAGGCATGGAAGGGAGCATCTCAAGTATTAGAAGAGGTTAGACCCTTCCGTGTCATGAATCGGTTCCCCCTTTCCCCACATAATGAGAATAATCTCTTTTTTACCTCCCCAAGCCGTAACGGTTATGAACGGAACGACGGAACTGCTGCACACTGAGCACATCTGGTACCCCAGGATACGAGAGGTAACTTGCCTGATGGAGCTGGCACCGTTTCCCTCCCTTCAAGGGGGGGTCCTTCTCATCCAGACGGCCGACACCTTTGAACGGTTAAAACGGTTGCCCTCTTTCTTGGCTGTCCTTTGGAAATCACTGTGTCTGACTCCCTGCAGATTTTATACCTCCTTCTGTATGTCATTTTGTAGCTGGAAGCTGCCCCACCCTTGGGAGGCACATTGCACCGTTTGTAAGGGAAAGCTGTGACAGAATCAGAGAATCTCATGGAGTTGGAAGGGGGCCTCTAAGGCCATCCAGTCCAACCCCCTGCTCAACGGCAGGATTCCAAATCAAAGCAGGTCTGACCGAGGGTGGCCCAATTTTCTCTTGAAGGCTTCCCACTATTGGAGCGCTTGCCAGCTCCTGAGGGCATGGGTTCCATCGTCGTACCGCTCTAACAGTGAAGACATTTTTCCAGATATTCAGCCTAAATCTGGCTTCCTGTCGCTGGAGCCCATGACAACGTGTCCTGCACCCTGGGGCGATCGAGAACAGAACAGGTCGTGTCAGAGCACTGCCGCTTGTGATGGGCAAGTGCTTCCAACAGGCGGTTGCAATATCTTATTCAACCGTGCAACCAGCTGCTTTGCAAAGAGTGTGATCAGGATGTGTTTGCCATATTTTTGTTTCAGAAGGCCAGGTGGAATTGGCAGCAGTGCTTGGCCTTTCCAAAATGCTTTGTTAATCACGCCCGGTGCCTCCTTCCCCTCTAGTACCAGATCTTAGGTGTGAATGTCCTTTATGCAGACGAAACCAGGACAGTTGTGTCACCACCGGGGAGGGGGGAAAACAGCATAGACCCCAGTTCACGCGTGTGTCATGGAACTTTTCCCCCACCCCCTTGCTTTGGGCTGCCACTTGTTCCTCACTTTAAAGCGTCCCCTCTCTCTTCCCCATCTTCAAACCATAGCTCCATCCTGCCAAGAGGCCTGCAGCCAAGGGGGGGCTGACAGTCTCCTGAGACCACTGCGCTGCTCTATGCCAGCACGTGTGACCAAATGCATCATACACCCTGCCCTTAGGAACTAAGAGCATCACCTCCGTGGCGCCAGCAGCCCTTGCCGGTTCGATCTGAGAGCTTGAAAGGTTAGCTTGGAACCCAGGTCTTCCTGTATGACAGTGTGATGTGCTATTGGCCACAACCGCCAGGCAGGTCTAATGACCTCTGTTGTGTGTTTTAAACCTAAGCGATGTGCTTGAGCAGTAAGGAGAAGAGGAGGCTGTTGGCAACCTTTCTATGGAACCAACTTCTGTTGGCAGCATAGAACGTACCGCCGACTTTTAGGGTCTCCTGAGCCTGAAGGACTTAACTGCCTAAGCACTCTGTTGAATAACACGTGCCATTGCCCCGTTTCTGCCTAGTCGTTGAATTCTTTGACTTGCGGTTCATGACCCCTTTCCAAACTCTGCACAGAAACATAAAAACTTGCCTGTGAAAAGAAGAAAAAAAAGAGAATCTAACAAAGCTGTTCCTTTTCTCTCCGTGCTCAGATCCAAGGAGCTATTATCATGTCATCTCTGATAGAAGTAGTGATTGGTTTCCTGGGCCTGCCGGGAGCACTCCTGAGATACATTGGTCCTCTCACGATTACCCCGACGGTGGCTCTCATTGGGCTGTCTGGTTTCCAGGCTGCAGGGGAGAGAGCGGGCAAACACTGGGGCATCGCCATGCTGTAAGTATTCTCATGAAAGGATAGCCACGCTTGGCGTTTGCAAAAGCTGAACTGGGCTGTTGACGAGAGGACCCTCTGAGAGTCATTAGTGTGTCAGGTTGCCATAAGTAGGAAGTGGCATCACAGCACATAACAGCAACAACATATTTTTATGTATTCTCGAAGGCTTTCACGGCCGGGATCCGATGGTGGTTGTAGGTCCTACAACAACCAACATATATTTTTGTTTTCCTCGAGAGGTGATGTCGCACAGTTAAGATTTGATAAGTTGCCCACTTCGGGCACTATTTATCATGGTCTCTTAAAACTCAGATCAGTATCCTAAAATGAGCGTAGATGTTAGAGAGCAGGTGATCCACATGGCAGGGGGTGGCTCTCCCCAAAAGTTCAGGGCGGTGGCCCCCGCCCATCCCAGTCTGTGCTTCAGCCTGGCACTGCCATGTGGCCTGCTAGCTGGTTTTATCTGTTATTCGTTTAAAAAAATGTGTGCTGGCTTTCCAAACATATAAAGTTGCTGGTAGTAATTGTAAAAGTATAAATGAAAACAATAAAACAACAGCTGACAGCTAAGGGTCAGTCCCAAAAGTTGTGATTTACAGAACTCAGAAGTCAAAGGAAAGGACTTAGCCAGATTACCTTGATTTACAAGTGCCTTTGAATAATTTCATTGTCATTTATGCGGGTTAGTTGTAATTTACGCATCTTTGAGTTTATGCTATTGTCTGGGTGTTTTATTTTAACTCACTGGCTTGTTTGTTTTTCTCTTCTTATAAAGTGCCCAGAATAATGAATTGCACTAATGGGGCGAGATATAAATGTAATAAATATAAGCATAAAATATAAATTTATTCTGTATGGTTGACAAGCTGTTGTTAGCAATACTGTTGTACTGTGACACTTTTGCTAACTACTGGGTTACTTTCTTCATGAGAGTTGTTAGCATCATCACTTAACTGCTTCTAAAAAACCCCCACAAAACTAGCAATGTGCTTTAAAAACCATGACGTTGTCTTATGCTTCGTAATACAGCACAAGTCTTAAGCACCAATCCATATTTGTATATGTTGATCCCTTCTGTAGTTCCACATTAATCTTTCCCCCCTTTTTTTGTTCAGCTTTGTGGTTAGTTGGCGTGAAAGTACCACACAGTGTTTACTTGGTTACGGGGCAAGACGGCTCAGGCTTTGTGTTTTTCACTTCGACATGCCAGGGCAAGTCTCTGAGAACTTGTAGTCTAAGGAAAAGCAGTTTACAAAGGATTTCTTCCTTAGTAACCAGCTGAAATTTTGTTGTGCAGAGTTTGCTGGACTTCTGCAAACAAGCGGGAAGCATCCTCATTAGCCTCCCAGTTCCTGCTCATGGAAGAGTAGATCTGAGGAGCAGAGAAGGGCCATTGTAGACCTCTGACAGGTGTTTGAGTTGGAGCAGCAACGTGGGAACGGGAGAGATAAGATGTGCATGTGACGAGATGAGCAGAGTAGAAGCATATGAAACACAGTCTTGATCTGACTGGGACGAACACCGTGCCTTGCACAAATTCTGTGGAAACCAGCAGTGACCAAATAATTTAAGCTTCCTTTGGAAGTTGTCCTTGCGGGCATGAATGTCATCAGTACGATGTTCAATATAGGCAGACGCAAAGTGGCTGTGTATCTGTTTAACATGTTTGAGAACAATTTTGTGTCTGAAAATTACTTTTTTAACACACACCTGCTGTCTTCCTCGTCAGTAGGCCCCACCATTTCTTGCCCTTGCCCGCTGTCTAAACCTCAGGGATGAGGTGGTTTTGTTCTGGAGAGTGTACACTCCTGGATTTAATACCAGGATCCACAAGAGTGCCACCAGTTTCTGAGGAAGCAGAATAAGGCCAGAAGGATTGTGATGACAGATCTCTTCCTGTCTGTGGCAGCCAAGGGCCTGATCCCTGCCATCGCCCCCCGGGGCAATCTCAACACCCGCTCTGGAGGGCAAAGAAGCCCTCCGGAGTGGCCTCTTCTGCTGGGTCAGGAGGGCTATGACAGAGGCCCCGAGGGAGAAGTGTCCATTGGTTTGTCTTATTCTTGCAGGGGAGGGTTAGGAACCCTTCTCTCTGTCCCCAAGTGAACTTGGCTGGGACCCTTTCCAACTCCTTATGAACAAAACCCCCAATCTGTTTCCTTTTTTGATAAGAGATGGTCTTAGCCTCACACTTTGACGGATGGAGCTGCAACCTGCTCATCCAGAAATACACGGAAGTTTGTTTAACGGTGACATAATGGTGTACTTAGCAGGCCACTGTTCCCCAAAGCTTGCTTTGGTATTCAGCATAAAGGCAGCTACCTTGTTCCTTAATGTGTGCTGTGGCAGAAAGATTTGTTGATACGCACACGCCAACCATTTGCATACATGATCGGAAGCCTCCTTGTTTGGGAGTTAAGCAATTCGGGTTTCTCGATCGTGCTTCCTGGGTTCATGCTTTAGATCCCAGCCAGGCAAGGAAGTTCAGATAAGGTAAAGGGCCACAGACATTCCCAACCCTTTCCAAAGCTTAGAGCAGTGAGCCAAAACTAAGTATGGCTTAAATACCTAATTTATTTTCCCATCCTCAATTGTATTAATGTTGTTGTTTTGTTTTTATTATTACTATTCTTATTCTTCTTATTATTATTATTAGGTCCTCAATTGTATTAAAGTTGTTGTTTTGTTTTTATCATTTCTATTCTTCTTATTATTATTATTAGAATGTTGTTAGCCGCCCAGAGTAGACTTCAGTCTAGACGGGTGGGGTATAGATCAAATTTAAATAAATAAATAAATGCATCGCACAATAAGAGCAAACAGATGATGAAAAATGATCCAGTCCTACAAACCATAACAGAGCAGCCAAGGGTTTTTTTTTTTAAACTGCTTTTCAATCCCGCCTATAACTAGGGTGTGGAGAATTTTTTCGCAACCCTGGAGCAGCATATCAACCTCACAAAAAGGGGAGGTTGAAACGTAGGCAGTGTTTCATGATCAGTGATTCCCAAAGCTAGCCTCCCACTGTAATTGAGCGAGTTCCAAAGCGACAGAGACAGCGACCCAGCAGCATGGGTTGTCTTTTCTCAGTTTAGTATTGTACTTTTATTATTAGTACTATCGTGACATGATTGTTTGCATTTTATTGGATGCCCTTGAGTTGCAGTTGGCAATTCTTCGTGCCTTGAAACATATGACCAGCCAAGGACTTTTAGAGGGAGGGCTAATAAAATAGAGGACAGGATTCCTTTTCTCTGTTCACGTTAATGAGCAGTTAATTGATTCTCCTTTCTTTCCAACCCCCCCCCCTTTCCAGGACTATCTTCCTAGTGCTGTTGTTTTCCCAGTACGCACGAAATGTCAAATTCCCTTTGCCGATATACAAGTCCAAAAAAGGATGGACAGCCTACCGGTTACAGCTCTTCAAAATGTTTCCTGTAAGTAAGAACCTGAATTCTCTGTTAGAATCAGATGCAAATCGTTAGCAGCAAATGCAAAGCAGATCAGATGCTTCTCCAGATGCTTCATAATACATATGTAGTGGACGTTTTAGGGTGGAAGCAAGTTCTCTGTTTGCTCCCTGTTTTTTTCCTTCCCCGTCCTGAGAGTGTCCTGGTGTTTGATTATACGTTTGTGATTCTTGCGTCACAATGTTAATGGTGTTTTATGTGTTGTATTGTGCTTTATGAAGCTTGCTAGCCACCTGGGCTCTTTGTGAGAAAAGGTGATATAGACTTCAAATAAAGAACGTTTTTCTTTTGGAAGGATTGCCCACTTCAGTGGCTTTAGAATGGATTGAACCATTTTAGCAAGCAGGTCCATCAGTGGAAATTAGCTCTGACAGATCAATAGATCCTCTGATACCTAAGTACCCAGCAGTAGTATCTCTGACCTCAGAGGGGGAGACCTGACAGGGGAGCCCCATCCCCTTGATGCAGCCCTGCTTGTATGCTTATTGGAAGCACCTTTCCAGCCGCAGCTGCGGGGTATTTGGTCTCAGGTCACCCCCCCCCCTCGATCTTCAGCAGCGACCACTCCCTCCCACTGTAAGAACTCTACGCACCGGGCTACAATGCACCGGGCTACCCTTCTGGATGTACCAAGTTTTCTTTGTGAGCCGATCAGCATTCCCAGCACTTTGTTTAATACAGTGGTGCCTCAACTTATGAACTTAAATCCGTTCCGGAATGATGATCGTCACTCAAAATGGTCGTGTCGAAGCACCATTTCCCATCGGAATGCATTGGAACACGATTAATCCGTTCTGGCCAGGGGAAAAAAATTACCAAAAAAAACACACAAGCAAACAAAAAACACCACTGCAAGCTCCACTGGAAGTGTCGGGGCCGGAAAAAAACCCACCAAAAAAAATGCAAACCCCATCAGAACGTGCTGCGGCTGAAAAAAAACACAACCCAAAAATAAACAACACAGCAGGCCCCATCGGAAGGCACTGGGGCTGAAAAACCAAACCCCCCAAAAGACAAAAAAAAAAAAAAACCCACAGCACAGAAACATAACCCCCTCCCCAGCCCAAACCCACACTGCAAAACCCTGTATGTACTCACTCAGAAGCAGCAGAAAGCAGCACCAGGCAGTCCGAAGCCATCTCCGACGCACACACTCTAACCGTTGGGGCGAAAAAGCTACAAGCAGCAGCCTCTTCGCCAACCAACGGTTAGCCCTCTAATTTGAATTCCCCGGCTTTTCCCCCACCTTTGTTCCAGTTGTAACTCGAAGCTCTGGTCGCAAGTAGAAACAAAATTTTGCAGCCGGAGCTGGTCGTAACTTGAAATGGTCGTAAGTCGGGACGTTTGTAAGTTGAGGCACCACTGCATTAGAAGTGCTTATTTGGAAATGTTCCTGGTTTGGGAAACTGCACAAAAAATCTCACCTCAAATGAGGAAGTTTTTAAAGGAAAGCTGATAGGATTTTTTAAAATTATTTTTTTTTCAAATCCTAACAATTGCGAAAATCCTTTTTCTCTTCCTTGTTGCAGATTATCCTGGCCATTTTGGTATCGTGGTTGCTGTGCTTCATCTTCACTGTAACGGATGTCTTTCCGCCTGATAACACCAAATATGGGTTCTATGCCCGCACTGATGCCAGACAAGGAGTGCTTTTGGTAGCGCCTTGGTTCAAGGTTCCTTATCCCTGTAAGTACCTTTAAGAAGATTTAGGGTGGATGCCAGGAAAAACGTCTCAACTGTTGGAGGAGTATGACAGTAGAACCCATGACCTCGGGAGGTGGCAAGCGCTCCAATGCTGGAGGCCTTCAAAAGAGGAAATTGGACAACCCTCGGTCAGATGTGCTTTGATTTGGATTCCTGCACTGAGCAGGGGGTTGGACTTGATGACCGTAGAGGCCCTTTCCATCTTCATTATTCTATGATTCTATGATCTCCATTATTCTATCATTCTATGAGAGCAGAAATGCCAGTACTTATTTATTTAGTCATCAGCAGTAGCATCAGCATAAAAAAGTGTGGTTGCATTAAAACCTAAGCCCTCTACTGGTGAAAAATAATGTAACATTTTAATTTGCTTTTCATTTTACCTATGTGTCATATATGTCCATAATTTTAAATTGTGCCGAACTCTGGTACTAAGAAAGAGAGAAAGAATTGTGTAAAATACTCCTTTTTTTGCACAAAAACAGACAATTTTTTAACAAAAGAAGTCCCAGTGGACAGAAGACTTTAGGTTTTCAGTTTTTACCCTGTGAGATCAAAATAGGCAAAGGTTTACCTCTCTGCATTAATATCTGTCTTTCTGCCCCTTACTCCAGCAGCAGTCTACGCCTGAATAATCTGATTTTCAGACTCTGTAACCCTAAACTAAACATAACTGTGTGTGATCCTTAGTGTGTTTCCCTTTGCCTCTGCCCATGCGCACTACTAGATGACTTGAGTTAAGGATAGAATCTGACTGCCTATGGAGGGTTATCTTGTGCAATAGGCTACACTTTGGATTGCTGTTGCCACTGTGTGAAGAATAAAATGCCCGCAGCCCGGTCTTACGAGCCCAGCCATTGGGCATTCTTTGATCCGGGAGACCGTTTTGTGTCTCAAGAGTAACTGTGTTTTTTAAATGTCATGAGAAAGGTGTCTCTGTTTTTGCCTCCGCAGTCCAGTGGGGATTGCCAACCATTTCGGCTGCCGGGGTCATCGGGATGCTCAGCGCGGTGGTCGCCAGCATCATTGAATCGATCGGCGATTATTATGCCTGCGCAAGGCTCTCTTGTGCTCCACCACCGCCCATCCATGCCATCAACAGGTGAGTCTCCTGGCGAAAGACCTCACTGTGTTGCTGGAAGCCAGATTGGGTGGTGTCTTCTGTTGCATTTAGAAAGAAGGCCCCACAGAATTTGGGGAATTAATATTTTCACAATTAGCGGTATTGAGAGTTCACCGGGGATCATTGTACATTGATCTGCCAGTCATAAAATGAGGAGCAATTAAGATTTGCTTGTCCAAATAAGCAGTCTTTGACACCTGCCATTGGCAGTTGGGTTTCTGAGTCTGAGCAAGGAGGCCAGTGGGACTGTCCAGTCATTTTGGTCGACTGTGTGTTTACTAGAGATGTGCAGACTTGTATTATTTTTGGGCGACATTTTCTACAGTTCCCAGAATTCCCCAGGGAGCGGAGCCCAAAGACACATTTGCACATCTTGAAAGTCCACTTTTTGCTAGCAATGGCAGCTTTCTGCCCAAAAGGTTTTCCCAGCAAGAAGCAGCAGGTAAAGCTCGTGATTCTCAGCTGAAAGTCCGGGGTGTGTGTGCGGGGGTGACCCCCGTCCTGCATGGTTCTCTGCACTGTTGACACCACACTTTGTGGCCCTTTTAAGCTCCACAGATGGAGAGCTGTGTTTCCTCTGGAAGCGTTTGAAACATGATAATCAACAAGAGGTTTACTTGGTTCTGCCTTCCCTTAAAAACTATTCTCAGAACAGCTGTAATAATCAATCTTGTACAAACTTAACAAAAATAAAAGTCAAATTATAACAGCAGTTTTGGAAAGGTAGTACAGAAACAGCATCCACACTCCAAAAACGTTTTGTAAATAACAAGTCCATTCAATATATTCAATGCAACCTATTGGTAAACAACATCCTTAGATAAGTATAATAACATTTATAACAAGGAGCTTGTCACCAAACTGTGGCCTCAGAACATAAGCCAGGAATAGCATGCTGTGTGTAAATACAAAAGGTGGTATCGAATTCCTTAGAAAATGTGCTAGACAATAGAAGAGAGCCCAGAAGTTGAAAATGGGCTAGAACAGATGTTCCTGCTGTTTGGAAGTCTTTTCGGTTGTTTAAACGCTTGTATGATGAATGTGTAAGAATTTTAGACAGAGGATGGCATTTTTAATTTCAGCTTTCAGATATATATGCTGGTATGGGCCACTTTGAGGGGCAGGAGCCGCCCCCCCAAATAAATCATCCATCTCTGTCTCTGTCTCTCTAATATGATATGCAACTTCATCTCCACCCCTTTCCCCCCCCCTCCCCATTGCAGAGGCATTTTCATAGAAGGCCTTTCCTGCGTTTTGGACGGCGTGTTTGGCACAGGGAACGGATCCACATCCTCCAGCCCTAACATTGGAGTCTTGGGGATTACGAAGGTACCAGGTCTTTTCAGAAAACAAGCTGTTTCCCCCCCCCCCAAAAAAAACACGTTCACCATAAGGGAACATTTGGCCTGTGTGCAGGGGGTGGACCCTCCATGCAGTGCTCTGGAAAATTAGAGGGAATGTTGCCTCCCCCCATTGCCTGTGGCAGAGCCGGCGCAATAGCTGCCCTTCCTCCCCCGTGCCCACCATTTAGAGTGATAAGGGAAGGGTTTGTTCAGAAGAAGAATTGGATTACAAGTGTCAGAGAGAGAGAGAGAGAGAGGGAGTATCATCTGATTGGTCTGAAAATGTTTCCAAAATGCATCTCCTTTCCAGGAAGTCCTTACAAATTATTTGAAGTCAGTTTTCCATTTTTGCCCAGAGGCTAAAGGGATTTTAGATCCTCTAATGTGGATCAAATGATCACTTGCAGTCATAGCCAGCATCAGGGAAGATAAGTAAAAAGAAGAAATTTGTTCAGTGCGTTGTTTCAGGTCTAGCAGGGAACCAGCCATCCATTATAAAATTTGGATATAAAATACAGTGGCCGTTCCTGCTTGAATGAAATGTGAAGGTGGAATTGGTTGAGGAAATCTTTGTCAAAGAAATAATTCTGCCCCTTTGGCTGCAGAGTGTTGTGGGGCCAAGCTACACATGGTTCTGCCAAAGCTGTTACTTCCAGGGAGAGTCTGTCCACGTCACCAGTGATGTGACATAGATCGTAACAGTGAGAAAGCAGTTCCTTTCTTCCCACACACAGCCTTCTCCCCCCCTCCCAAAAAAAAACTTCTTTTTTGTTTGAAGCTCAGAAGAAAAGACCTTAGGGGAATCGATAGTAGGATGAGGTGGGAGAGAGAGCATTCCTTTCCACCCATCCTGAAATTTAAAACACTTCTCTCAGCATGGCCTGTATGTGACTGGGAGAGGCCTGCACTTAAAGACACAGGTCAACACAACTATGTGAAGCTTGGTGCTTAACCTTAGCAGAGTTTGAAAACTCTTGGCACTTTCTCCTGGCCTCCCTTTGAACTTTTGAGGGAGGGAAGGCAGAAAGGCAGACGGGCAAGGAGAATGGAAGTTATCCAGAATGCACCATGTTCCATCAGAACTAAAGATAGATGGACAATATAATGCTTTTATAACATAATGGTTTTACTTCTTTTAAAGATACAGAGTCAGTTTAGCTGATTATTATGTTATTAACTTGAAATAAGAGGTTGTTTTATCGTGTTTTTAATGGAAATTTTATAATTCTGCTTAGCTTTATGAAATTACAGTTTTATGTACTGTATTTATTTAATATTGTTCTGGTCTTGCTGGTCCGTGACCTTAATAAAGTTATCTTATCCTATCGTATCCAAACTAAATACCAGCCTTAATCCTGCTATCCAGAGTAAACTGAAATATAAAAGTATTCTTAGTGTGATTATTGGAAAGCAAAGGCAGAAGGGAGTGGAAGAAAATAGGCCTTAGCAATATTATCCTTCTAACAGATCCTCCATGTTTAAGATCCTTTCTGAGCTTACCGATGTGGTTGTGAGCACTTTCTGTGCATATTCTATTTGCTTCTTCTCATGTCAGATTAACGTGAGCCCAAAACAGAAGTCTGCCAGCAGCATCTCATGCCGTGGCATTCATTCAAGTCTAAATAAATACCCCCCCCAATGGTGCCTCCTTGACAGAGGCTGAACCTGATGGTCCATTGAGTCCCCTTCCAACTCTGCAGTCCTAAGGTTCCTAAGTAAGCATTTTTGCAGGAGAGAAAGGAGTGGGTACAGTTGCCGTTTTGCCAACGTTTGTGGATCCCTTTAGAGAAAAATGCCTTTAGCATTGTGCTCTTCCAGTGTAGCCTGCCTCCCTCTTTGACTTTTCCTACCTAAGAGGTAACCGTAAAACAGTGAGGCAGTGAAAGAAATCTTTGCTTACACTAAAGCGCAGTTCAGTTCAAAGGAAACATGACTGTCACATGGGCTCGGATCCTTGTGCGTGAAACAGCCAGCACAAAGATGTCTTGAGAAATCCATCCGTGTTTCTCCTGAGAATCTTGGTTGAGGTTAACGGCCTCCTGTTATTCATTTACGCTCTTCAAAGGGTGTCTGTCGCCTTGAGCGCTGTAAATTCCTGTCCTTTATTCTAGAATTGCTGTAGTTCCGTAAGACTCATCTTTTTGAACCCAAATGCCCATGAGCAAGTGTTTTAAATGCCACACCTCCTGTTTGGTTGAGGTGGTATCTGTGAAACAGTTAGATTTAAATCCTTTGAACTCCATTGAATTCCAAGAACACATGATAACAGAACCCTCGTCCGTCCGTGATGTTTGAACTGCAATTTACGAAGCTCCTGAAATCATATGATAATTATGGCCCTTTGAATCAACTCAGAGAAAGGAAAGTGTTTTTTTTTTTCTTTTAAAGTTTTGAACTTCTGGGATCTAGTGACAAGGCTGTTTCCACTGACTCAACCACTAACTAGGTTGAGTTAGGGTTGTGTTTCCTCATTAGGAATTTCCACTCACTAAATGCAGTGGTGTCTGTTATTACAGCTACTCCCATTCCTTCTCTTGGGCACTTATCACTGGGTTGACTGTGGGGCCATCATGGGGTGAAGGGAAGGAACATTACCGTCTTGTTTTTCTCAGGGCTGCAGCCCTGCATAGATTTAGAAGGACTCTTCAGCATCTTCGATATGCTCGTCTCGTTCAGTATTGATGGGAGAACTGCCCACTGTGTTAAAAACAAAATGATTATTGGCCAGAAAGGTTTCGTGAATCCTTTCAGTCAGGCGTTGTGAGGAGCAGCTAGGATTCACTGCCCCACCTTTGCTCAATAACTAGAAGGAAGCAAGGGTGGTCTTGGCAGATGGCCGTATCCTGATCAGATACTCTGGAAGTCTACTTCATGTCCATCCCATGGCTGCAGTCTCAGCTCCAGCTGTGGCTGAGAAGTGGAGGATGTTGGAATGGGTGGAGAATGGGTGAGAAGCTCCATCCCATTAGAAGGAAAAGAGTGGCGAGAGGAGGTGGAACTGAGGAGCGAATGCAAGGAGGCGGTTGGGTGAGAAGAAAGGAGTGGGAAGTTGAAGGAGGAATGATGGGCAGAGGAGGTGGGAACCAAAGAAGAAACCAGGGAAGGAAGAAGGGGAGAGAGAAGCCGGCAGGTGGAAGTCCCAGGTCCCCAAAGGACGGCTCCTCTTTGAGCCCTCTCCATACCCACAGGGGCCTGGCTGTAGTGCATTGGCAGCTGAGCAGGAGAGGAAGGGGTCATGAAGACCAGCAAGAAGCCACTGCTTTGTTTTCTGTTATGGATTCTCAAGTTGCTACCATCCACTTGTCAAAACATCTCTGAGCTATGGCGTTTGACTCTGTCTCCCTGGTTGTCATCTTTTGTAGGTTGGGAGTCGGCGGGTGATCCAGTACGGGGCAGCTTTCATGCTCCTGCTTGGCATGGTTGGCAAGTTCAGCGCTCTGTTTGCATCCCTCCCTGACCCTGTGCTCGGAGCACTTTTCTGCACCCTTTTTGGTATGGGACTCTTTCCATGTGCTTTCTGTGTGTGTGTGTGTGTGTGTGTTACCGATGATCTCTGCAAGCATCCATCTCTGTGTCCTTATTTTCCATGAACCCGGATGCGATCTCCAGGAGCTTCCTCTTGCGTTCTAGCACCTGCCAGGCGGAACTCCTTGGCTTCCTAAGGCTCGCCTCACCCTCTGGTTCAGACAGTGTCCTGCTAGCTTCCTTGAGCTCAAAGGACAAAACACTTCAGACCTCTTCATCCATCGTATGCTTGAGAAGGGGCAAACCCTATAGAAAGAGGCTGCAGGGCCAGCATAGGCTAAGCCACAGGGTGTTGGCCAGTAAACAAGACCATTTTGTTTTGGAAAGGAGCTGAGGAAATCTCAGCCATTGCTTGGCAATACAGGGTTTGGAAATTAGGGCTGATGGAATTTACTGCATGCTTGCGATCAGCATACCAGAGCCTCAAAACAGATATGTTTTTTTAAAACCTGGCACCCTTTTATTTCTTATGGTTAGCACTCCTGCTGATTCTTTCAGCAATCCCCTAAGCTCCCATGTTGATTTATAGAGAGATGCGCTAATTAATTGCGTAACATTCATCTGCCGCTCAGACAGTTTGCTGGAATGGAATAACCATTGCTGTTTTTGTATACCCTACTTTGTAAATAAAAATTGAAAAAAAAAACAGCTGTCTCTTAGAATTTACACAGATGGAGTTTGTATTTGCATTTTAAAACTTGGGACGATACTTGCATTTCCTTAGTATTTCACAAATTCTCATTTTGTAGCATAGACTGAAATCTATGAGATTTACTAGGAAATCCAGAAACCTTTGGGTAGGGTGGGTGGCATATAAGCTGAATAAATAAATAAATAAATCCTGTCTGTTTGCTGTCTAGGGATGATTACTGCGGTCGGGCTTTCGAACCTACAATTCATAGATTTAAATTCTTCCCGGAACCTTTTCGTGCTGGGGTTTTCCATCTTCTTCGGACTTGTCCTTCCAAGTTACCTTCGACAAAACCCACTTGTCACAGGTACCCCTTTTTGTTTTCTTACTCATCCCACTGTGTGATTCTGTACCACGTGCCCCCTCGTGGGGCGGAGTAATGACCCATACCTGAAGCATCTACGCTGGACAAGCTTCACACTGTGAAGTTCTCTCCTGAAATGCTGTGTCTCGTGATGGCAGTTCTACAGGTTCTGGTCTTGACGCGGCTCTCCCTTCATCTGTTTTTGTAGGAATTGCCAGCATTGATCAAGTACTAAATGTTCTTCTCACCACGGCCATGTTTGTTGGCGGCTGCGTAGCGTTTATTTTAGATAACACCATTCCAGGTGAGTCATGAAACATGTTGTCTTTTCCTCCTGTTGCCCACTCTGGCTTTCTTCCTAAAGGTACTGAAATATTTGAAGCAAAAACATCCACCCAGATGCAGGATCAAGAGGGCGTGATTCGCATCTCGTCACCAGCGCCCCACAAACTCCCCTGTGGATGTTCATAAGAACCTAAGAAGAGCCCTGTGCTGGATCAGGCCAAGGGCCCCTCGAGTCCAGCTTCCTGTATGTCACCGTGGCCCCACCAGATGCCTCTGGGAGTGCCCGAGACCACAAGATGCCTGTCTCCTGATCCCCCTCCCTTGCATTTGGCATTTTGAAGTACCTTCCTGAAGCCTGGAGATTAGACATCCCTATCATGGCTTGTCACCTGCGTTGGCCTTTTCCTCCATGAATCTGTCCCGTCCCCTTTGAAAGGCCTCTAGGCCAGAGGTCATCACCACATCATGTAGCAAGGAGTTCTACAGACCAACCACACCCTGGATCAAGAAATATTTTCTTTGGTCTGTTCTCCCTCTCCCAACCCTCCATTGGAGTGGATGTCCCCTGGTTCTGGTATCGCGTGAGAGGGAAGGGAGCTTCCCTCTCCCCACCTGAGCCATCCCGTGCCTAATTTTCCTTGAAACGGAAGGGCATGGTGTGCTTTTGGCCTGGCACTCTTCATTTCAGTGGTCCTTGCGCTACAGAACCTTCTGCTCGATGGTGCTCTGGGATGAATCTTCTGTCATTAATCCTCCATTGCTATCTCAGGAAAAACCCCACCTCTCCTGCTTCAGATTATTGGAAAGATTACTTTTCAGTTGCAGTATATAACACACACACCCCAAAAAAGTACCTGTTTTTTCAAAACTAGCAGTGGATTTAGGGCCCTCCTGATTTGGTTTGGTTTCCCATATATTTGAGGGTCTTTGAAGCTCTCGGAGAATTGTGGGTGCAGAAAATGAGCCTTGGACTTAGCCATGTTTCATGGGCTCTCCATGCTTCTAGTAAGGAGCAACTCTGTGTGCCACCGCTCCTGCTGCTGGTAGTTGGATATGGAACCGAATACAGTGGTGCCTCGCTTAACGATTTTAATTGGTTCCAAAAAAAATCGCTATGTGAAAACATCGTTAAGCGAAACACCATTTCCCATAGAGATGCATTGAAAACCAAATAATCCGTTCCAATTGGAATGGATTACCGTCCTTAAGCGAAAATCGCCATAGGAAAAAACGTTAAGCAAAGCGCGGTTCCTCCATTGAAATGCATTGAAGCCTATTTCAATGGGGGGGGGGATTCACAAAAAATTCAAAAAGACTCAGAACAAAGCCAAATTAAGTTAACAAAGGTTTTATTAGGTGCACTAACAATTCCAAGCATTTTAAACATTTTAGAATATTTTAAAAATAGCGAAAACGGGGCTGTAAAAAAAAAAACGTTAAGCGAAACAAGGGGATCTAAAACCAAAAACGTTAAGTGAAGCATGGTCCCGAAATCGTTAAGCGAAAATCGCCCATAGGGAAAATCGTTAAGCGAAGCGCAAGATCACTCCGAAAAAATTGTTAAGCGAATTTTTCGTTATACGAAGCAATCGTTAAGCGAGGCACCACTGTATCTGAAAAAGGGCACTGACCTAGATGTACATCACTGTTCACCCAGTTTGCACCTGGATACTTTCACATTTCCCAACCGCAGACCGCCTATGCATGCACAGCTTTATCAATACAGGTGCCCGTTTTCAGGCCCCTTGTTCCACGTGTAGGAGCGAGGAGGACGCCATCCGCCTTCCTACCTCAAACGTCTAATTAATGTCCCTATGAAGGAAACCATGGCAAGGGCTTCTGTCTCTAAGGTTCCCCTCTTTGCAAATCTCTCTCGCCCTTTCTTTTTTCACGTAGGAAGTCCGGAGGAACGAGGAATCCGGAAGTGGAAGAAAGGAACGGGCAAAGGCAGCAAAGCCATTGACGGCCTGGAAACCTACGACCTGCCGTTCGGCATGGAACTGGTGAAGAAATACCGGTGCTTTACTTTCTTACCCATCAGCCCCACCTTCATGGGCTACTCGTGGAAAGGCTTCCGGAAAGGCAGCAACAGCAGGAGTTCAGAAGAAGACTCGGAAGCCACTGTATAGCCCCGGCTGAAACCTGCTTCTTGTAGCTATAGTGACAGACACTACTTCTGCAGTTTCTTGCTGTTTTTATTTTTATTTTTTTATTTCTATTTTTTTTTGTGTATATCTGTGTTTAGATTCTGGAACCAGAGCCGAGACCATATTATAAACATAGCTTTCCTATTGTGGATGGGGACGGCCACCTATAATGTCTCTCTCTAGCTGCGTAATATTTTTGCATTATCGTTCTGATGATGATTAGAGAACTGTAGGAATTGTTTCTCCTATTTGACATACATGGGTTTTGGGGTGTTTTTTTGTTTTTGTTTTTGTTTTGGTCCTAGCTACTTTTCTGTAGCTCAAGATCCCAAATCGATAAATAGAACGCATGTCAATGGACGTTAGCACTCCGGCAGACCTTGCTGATACATTCCGTTCTCGTAATCCTGTGCTGGCAGTCCCTTGTTTGTGCAGTCCTGCAGATTGTAGCAGAATTCTGTGCCCTAGGCCGTGCTCGCAGAATTGCCCGGTCTGGAATATGGAGCAGCTGTATTTATGAAGTGGTGCCTTTGCACACCTTTCTCCTTCTAAAAGCTTCTGTGTCACGCTGGAGCGCTTCCTAGAGGGATGGGGCAGAGCAGGGTGGAACCGTTGCTTGCGAGGCCAGCAGATCTTCAAACCAAGACTAAAAAGGACTCCATCGCTCATGATCTTGCCTAGGCGCAAGGTGCTCCTCCTATGAGAATAAGAATATTTCTTGAACTATTCCTGGTGGGTTGTTTAAACAGAATGGCCAGCTAGTCTCCACATCTCTTTGCTTTCAGCCATTTCTGCATGTCCTCAAAGTGCCCTACGGTTGATTCTGCCTTATTCCTTTCCTCCTTTTTCTCCATTTAAACACAGAACCTGTTTGCAAAATGGGAGAGACGCTATGGACGGCCACTCTGTCCATCAGAGGGTTTAACGGGTATTGTGGGCCCACCGCGGGGGCCGCTCAGACTCTTTATTTCCCCCCCCCATACTAGTCTTGGCTCTGGAATTATTATTATTATTATGTGGCTGTTGATGCTCATCATCTGTTCATTATTCCTGTTTAATGTTCTTACGACGGCAATCTAGTTTTTAGATATGAACCGGGAGGGGGGAAATAGTCTCTCTTTCTTTCCAAATGTGGCCTGAAAGTGTTTATTTTTTATTTTTCAAGCTGAGAAAAGATTTGTCAGAGGGAGGCATTAGGGTGAGGGTTCTCTCGAGGCCAGTATGTTTCTAAGGTGCTGCTTTGTTTTTGTTGTACCATGTTGTTTAGAAGAAGAAGAAGAAGCAGATACTGTAAATGATTAGTCAGTTTCTCAAGTCTGGCGACAAGAGAGGCGCAAAACACCCCTGGTTTCTCTCTGAGGCTTAGGTTTTGGGGAAAGGCAATCGTATCAGGATCAGGGTACAAAATAGAAATATGGAAAGGGTTCCTGAATGTTCCCTGCCTTTCCTGCAGCATTTCCCTCATCCTGCTTTTTCACATCAGGATAATTTCCCCTCTCCGAACTTCTCTTGGGAAGTTTTCACCTGTTTACTGCCTTGGAAGCAGACATGGTGTCATGAGAACCAACCAAGAAAAGTAATTCTTCTTTCTTCTCAAAAAGGCTGAAACAAGAACAAATGCTATGTCCCTTCAGGACCGTGAGACCTCTATAAGGCACGAAGGCTGCATTCTTTCACACACTTTCCTGGAAGTAAATCCAGTTCAGCTCAGTGTGCATCTGAATAAGCAAAAGGATAGGACTGCACTATATACAGCTGAAAATCTGTGTGCATTTAGAGAGGCCTCAGTTTCCATCATGCGGGCTGGGATTTCTTCAGCCAGCTGGCATAGGAGGGAGCTGCATGTTTCTTTCCCATGTTGCTTGCAATATATGCAGCCAAAGAAAAGATAGGTGGGCAGTAGCAGCATCCATACATAGGTAGACACAACCATATAAAATCCCCAAGCCGGATGGTTCTGCGCACATTCAAGAGGTTGGCATTGCAGGTCCATAATATTCACAGAGCTTGGTGTTTTCCACTTTTCATTGTGGCCAGCTGCTTATTTTTCTTTCTCGCCTGCTTAAGGTTCCGGGTGCGTGTTAAACATGATGGAACGCACAACCCTAAAACTGTTGCACAGCAGCCCCCATTTTCTGTAGCGGGCCTTCACAAAAGGAAGTTCCCTGAATTGGGCCCAGCAGAGTAACTGGAAAAAACGGGGCTGGAAGACTGACACAGCTTGCACACCTGTCGGTTGTGTTAACAAGCATAGCAGAGTAAACATCAGGCATCTGGTTGGGCTCTGTTTTCATTGCAAAACTTTTCCTCGGGTGCAATGAAAATAAGCAGCAGTTCATACATCTCACCTGAAGCACAAAGAGACTCCAAGCATCTCTGGCTTTTGCACGGTGCGCTCAGATGCAAAATCCTGTTTTTATTGATTTCTCTTCCCCTTGCAGGTGGCTGGTCTTTAAAAGTCAGTGGTGCAAAACTGGCTGCTTAAAATTTTGCCTAACTTGAAAAATCCTTTTTTCTGTGTTAACTTCACCAAGCTAAGCTGCCTGTTGGCTGTTGGCAGCTATAGGCTCAAGTACTTTCCAGAGCTTTGGTGTGTTTGCAAATGGCCTGGTTCGCCAGACGAGTCGGCAAGTCATATCGAGGAAAACAGGTTGAAAGTTTGCTGCTTGGTGGTGTTGAAAGCAGAAACCTCTCAGTTTTTGGCTTAAGCATCCACCAGAGGGCATGGTAAATGCTGCTTAGGAAAGGGCTTAAGGGACACAAGGGTGCTTGATGGCAAGCCCTTAGGATGAGCGCGCCCAGAATCATGGAGACGTTTACTCAGTTGTCAAAATAAAGGGAAGGCTCGTGTACACAGTCCTTTGGGAGGGAAAGGGTTTCTGCTTGTTTTGAAGAGTCGACAGTAAATGATTGCAAAGCACTCCTCTTGAGTAGCAGAGTAAAAAAGCTGGCCTGGATCGCATCGTAAGAGCAGCAGAGAGAGGCGAGAGTTCTCATGTTCAAGCACAGTTGAAACGAAAGAGCTCAGCCTTGCTCTTGCACGTCCCCCCACTCATTCCAAGGGCTCTAAACAAGCGAGTCTCTGTCCGGTTGTGTTCTGCATTTACAGGGGGAAGGGACCAAAATAGCTGGAAAGCGGTTGGGCGCGCTTGTGTTTGTGAGAATGGATTCAGACCCCTCTGGGAATCCTCCCCCTCTGAAAATTTCAGTCTCCGTGTCTATGACGAGAGTTTGATGTCTTGGATTCTTTTTTGACGGCCAGTTGAGCAATCGGGCTGTAAACAATTACTTGAACACAGTATCTTGGTGAAAGCTGCAAAGGGAGAAATCCTGTGTTCTCTCTTATTTGGCTTCAGTAAGCCTGAAGTCAGTTGGACGTTCCTTTGACGGGTAAGAGTAAGCCTCACTCTGTATAACTTTCTCTCTTCGCTTGGAGAGAATAGAAACAAGGTTGTGCGGCTCTGGATTGTGTCCTGAGACCTGTAGCCATCAGCCTTCCGGTCAATCTCAATTGAACCATGCTGTCTAAAGAGAACACCTAATGGAAGGGTCGGGGTGGGGGGGAGGAAGAGCACTGACAAATTTCGGATTCAAAGCAGTAACAACTTGTGGCAACCATCACTATGTCTTGTCAAAGATGTATAAACACTAGTCAAAGCGAAATAATTTGAGAGCTTTTGTATTTAAATTAAAGAAACTAAACTTTTTTGTTGTTAAATTAAAACTCTAGGGAAGATGTTTGAATGTGTCTTATAAAACGATGCCTCTTGACTTTATATATAATTGTTGACTTTTTCTCTGTGCTTGATAAAACTGTATTAATCCGAATAAGCTGCATCAGGGAAGGAGTTTTTAAATTTGCGCAGTCAATTTGTTTTACACCGTTTAATACAAACTTTCAATATGGCAACTTTGTACATGAATATTGCAGTATTTTGTCTCCGCAGACTTAAAAAAAAAAGAGAGGAGAAAACAACAGCAACACAACAAGTAACATTTCCTTCCAGGATAAAAACGTTGCAGGCTTCCTGGGTGGGAGTGATATGATTGTCATGACAATGTCATGTGATAGAATTTCTTCATTAACGAATTGCTAGCGATTGTCTATACTTTATTTACCCATGCTTATGTTCTTAAGAGAAAGACAAGGGAGGAGCTGATGGTTATCTCTTTCCTGAAATCATTGGTACAGGCAGTGCGTCTAGTATTTGCGAAAGAAGGCGTTGAGGCTGGCAACCCATGAGGGCGGGCAGCGTTTCAGACACTTACCCACAGGACCCAGTTCATAGGGGATTTCTGCGAAAGGAGGGTGTTCGGGATTTTCTGCCACAGGCACTGAAAGAATGGCATAGGATGACTCTGGTTTAAGTCTTGGCAAGAACTGCAAATCAAAGGTGAAGGTTAAGTGGTCAAGCCAAAAGCATGCCAACTGCTCATTGGTGGCAGAAACCAGATTTCTAAGCTGCTTTCTGTGATGTGCCAAACCGTTAATGGTGTAACTTCAGGTTGCGTCCCATCTTATGGATTAAATGGTTGGAAATGTCAGTCCCGTAGGCCATCCTCGTTCTCTCCTTGGCCCCACCCGGCTTTCAGCCCCTGTCAAATGGAGCAGTGTTTCCTTAGTGAGATGTAAAAGTGCTGTGAAGGGTCTAGAGCCCCTGGACAAAGCCATTCCATCGGCTCGGGTAAGGGTGGGGCAAAATGCGGCCCTCCAGGTTATTTCTGGATGGCACCTCCCGCAACCTCTTACCTTGGCCTGCGCCAGCTCGAATGGACGGGAGCTGCCACCCAACAGCCTTTGGAGGGTGCACTTTCTCCAACCCTTTTGCTAAAATGTACTTCCTGTGCTTTGATTTTGTGCCCTGTGGAAATGGCTTCTGAAGGTCCTTCTCAGCTTGTGCCCTACTTGAGAGAAGGACTGTCTGGACAGCTGAAGGCGCACTTGGAAAAGCACGTCATGTGTGCATGTAGGAGTGCCTGGTTGACCCACCAGTGGGTTCTGAAATGGCCATCACCCCTCCTGTTTACAAGCACACATGCATACACAAACGCATGCACACACATCCATAGCTTACCAACCCAAGTAACCCTCCAGACCAGGGCCCCGACTTCTATCAAGTAAGCACACCCTCACCAGTGTTCGGCTGACACCAGTGTAAGGCACTGCAGGGCCTCTCCCTAGGCAGATCCCATGGCTTTCAAGCCAGTTTCCAAGGGTCAAGAATTACGGCTCCCATTTTCCTCAGCCAGCACGGCCATGGGCCGGGTGGGCTGGAGACGGTGGAAGCTGTAGGGAGCGCACGTGGGAGGGCAGCCGGTTGAGAAAGAGGCCACTTTAAGCCACCATGTGGGAGCGCAGCCCTGAGCCCTCGGACAGGGGCCTGTGACACAGCTCAACCACCTCAATATACAGGACAGACCAGCACAAAAATGCCTTTCTTTTTCTCTCCGTCTCTCACTCTTTCTTCAGTGGCCTTCCTGAACCAAAACAACCCTAACCCAACCCTTAGGACGAGGTGTAGGGAGCAAATCCCTGCAGGAAAAAAACAAAACAATATATTCACCATTGTGTTATATTTTTGCATGGTGCATGCTGCATAGCTAGAGATTCTCACCCAAAAGGTTTCTTAACCTGGCTGGACAGAGGGTGGCAGAGGTTCTGGGGCTTCATATTTCGTGGTGCAAATCCTTTGTTGTTTGTGCTGTTAGAGGAGGCCACGCGCGAGCCAGTGTTTAGCTTCTGCCCATTGGCCTCTCTACTGTTAGTAGTGCTGGACTGTGTTAAGTATTGAGGAATCATCTTCAGCAACATTCAAAACATTCCTGTCTGGTAACGATTTAATTGTGGCTGTGGTTAGTCATCAGTACCTACTTGATAGCAAAGGACCACCTTGTGTATTGTATGACATCCTTCTAAGTAAACCATCTCACTGCTGAGCCAAACCATTGCCCATTTTCTTTTTTGTTCCTGGGGTTCTGTTCCTAGCAACCTCTGATGTAACAAACTCTTGACTGTTTTTTTTTTCTCTTTAAGACAGTGGGGTATAAATGCTTCTTTTTGGTCTCTCTCTCTCTCTCTCTCTCTCTCTCTTTTTTTTTGGATGAATAACTTTTGCCTACACAGTCTCATGTTCCATACCAAGTTGGGATTTTTCTTTTCCTTTTGAGATGTGTAATTCGTTCCATGAGATTTTTATGGATTTTGTTGTGTTCTGTTGGGCTTTTCCCCCCTAACGACTGCTTTATTAAACGTTGAAATATTTAAGAAACATGTAATATTTGGACCAGATGTTGTGAATAATAGTAGATAAAAGCTATTTTATTCTGTATTTTTAAAAGCTGTTCTGTATAAATAAAAGGTGACATAGATGCAACTTTTCAACTGCATCATGGTGTTCATTCTTCAAAAGCATTATAGAATCAACATTAAAAGCTAGATTTATCTCATTCTATAATTGGCAGATAAGTCACTGAGAGCTTCCCATCTATATGATACACCTCTTTATAAATACCTGTAGGTGGCAGGACCTTGGACAGCTACCTCAGTAGAAGACAGGGATAATGCCTGCCTTTTCCACTATTTAATTGAGCTTGGAGCTTTTAAACCTTATATCTGCCAATGCAGTATATATATATATACTGCATATATATATATAGTCTGATTCGTGCATTCCAGGACAAACACAGTAGTTAAGCCTAATTTTCTGTTGTGTGATGGGTGAGGAGGTTCAGAGGACAGCAACGAGGATGATCAGGGGACGAAACCAAGCTCTAGGAGGAAAGAGTAAAAGAACTGGGCATGCTTAGCCTTGAGAGAAGAAGACGGAGGGGGAGACAGGATAGCATTTTTCAAATACTTGAAAGTAGTCCTACAGAGGAGGGACAAAATCTCCTCTCAGTCACCCCAGAGTGCAGGACATGCAACAAATGGGTTCAAACTATAGGAAGGCAGATTTAGGCTGAATATCAGCAAAAACATCTGAACTGTTGGAGCAGTACAACAATGGAACCAATTACAGTGGTGTCTCGCTAGACAGTTACCCTGCATGACAGTTTTTTCGCTAGACATTGACTGTTTGCGATCGCTATAGCAATTGGCAAAACAGTGATTCCTAGGGGGGAATTTCGCTGGACAATGTTTGGTCCCTGCTTCACAAACTGATGTTTGCTAGCCAACGATTGTGACAGCTCCCTCTGCACTCGCAAAACGGGGGTTTTCGGGACCTACACTTTGCAAGACAGCTATTTAAACAGCTGATCGGCGCTTCGCAAAGCGGCTTTCCTATGGCCGATCTTCGCTAGACAACGATGATTATTTCTTTATTCAGTTTATTTATTTATTCAATTTATATGCCGCCCACACTACCCAGAGGTCTCTGGAACGCATTAAACGGGTTTCAATGCATTCCAATGGGGAAATGTTTTTGCTAGACGATGATTTCGCTAAACAGCGATTTCAGTGGAACGGATTATCATCGTCTAGCAAGGCACCACTGTACTTTGGGAGGTGGCAAGCGCTCAAGAGAAAATTGGATTACCATCTGTTAGCTATCTCTTGATTTGGATTCCTGCCTTGAGCAGCGGGTTGGGCAGACTCGATGGCCTTCGCGGCACCTTCCAACTCCCTGATTCTTTGAACTTAAGATGCAATTGATGAGTTGACAAACCAGCAAGGCATTTGATGGCGAGAGGGTGGCCTTATCTGGGACAAAAGAAAAAAGTTCTAGGAAACCACGTCTGATGATTTTACAGCTAGAAAACCCTGCGAGGGCTGCCACAAGCCAGAATCAACTTGGGGACACATTTTTATTATTAAATAGCTGCCCTACAGACAGAATTAGGATCACGGCATGAGAAACAAATGCTTCCGTTCACGAGTTGTGACAAAAACCTAGGAGTTCACAACGGTTATTTGCCCCGGAGAGAAACAGCAAGATATTTTTTTGTCCGGCTGCTTAACCACTTATTAGACAACCCCAGCCTGTCTCCCTGGTGGGCAGGGAGAACTAGATTACTGAATTGTTTCCTATCTGGCCACGTGGAATTAGCTGGTTTTTTACTTTGCTGCCAAAGTCTCTGAAAAAGGCAAAAAATTGGTGTGTTTGATAGAGATATGAAAGCCCCATGGATTGTTTTACAAGAGCCACAGGAATTTAGCCGATTGTTTTATTAAAGGCGTAGAATGACACCTCTGGGGGAGCGTTGCCCAAGTGGAGTTATGTTTTATGAATGTTTAATATTACGCTGCCGAGAGGAGAGCGGAGCTAATTGCAATCAGAAAACAGCCCTTTGTGAAGGGAAAGGAAAGATGGATTTTGCTTGCCGGTAATAAGACACTTGATAGTGGGACCGCTCCGTGAATGATTCTGAACATGGTGTTGTCCCTCTGAAGGCAGCAGACCCAGAAAGCAGATGGGGGCTTGAAAGGGATACCAAATTCATTTCACCCAGTATGAACTTCCAGAAGAATTTAGGGCACAGTATTTGGAAACCTCACTTTTCTATCCATAGGTTTCCTCAATCATCCAGAAATCCACTGCATTCTGGTGAAGTGATTTTGAACTCAAGAGAGGACAAAAGTTAAGGAAGTGTTAACCCAACTGTAGCAAGTCTCCATGATCACAGAAGGCATCTGAATGTTGGCAGCGGAAAGGAGAAACAAACTGCATTTAGATGCTAAAACAAGATGCTCAAGGAACAGGTGCCTTGTTTTAGAGTGGAAGCCAGGTTTTCCAGGGCTTGAGACAACGTGGTGTTATAGAACAAGGTGCCTGCTCCTGGAGCACCTTGTTTTAGTGTCTTCAGCTGGCTTCTCGCAAACGAAAAGCAGGATTTTCCCATTTCCAGCATGCCACTTTGGCAGCTATGATTCTGACCTGCAACACACACAACACAGCATGTGGCCGTAAAATAAAATAATTGTTTTTTTTAAAAAAAACACACAGCCCTCTTTCTGCCCTACATGCTCCTTCCAGTCCTTGTTCTTCAGAAGCGTAAGGCCTAAGGAAGCCCAAAAGGCCACCGGGAAGAAGAACGGTGCCTTCTTGGTGGTGGCCCGCTTCCTTCTGGAACAAGCTTCCTTCAGAGGTTGGCCAGGCACCAGCCCCGCCCCCCCCCCTGTTTGTAGGGAGCGAATTACAACAGAATTACACAAAGCCACCTTCTCCACGTGCAAATATTAGGGCTTGAAGGTTTCCTTTTTTTGTTTAAAGGTAGTTTTAGTTAGCGACAGGGTTTACTGCGTTTGATTGTGATTTTTTTTAAGTATTGATATTATTCACACTTTTTAATTAGAATACATGTTTAATTCTTTTTTTAAAAAAAGTATACTTACTCTTGGAGCTTTTAAATACTGTTTTATGGACTAGGTAAGTCCTTTTTAAGGTGAAAGGTGGGATAAAATAATTTAGATCCATCCATAAAACGTACTGCAGCATCTTCTTCTCTCTGCCCCCCCGCCCCCTCCAGCCCCAGCTCTCTAAGGCCGGGGGGGGGGGGGGGGGAGGAAGGCTCCAGTT